GATTCTCCTGACTCAATTTCTTCAATGTGATACCTGCCTGACTTTAAGCCTGGCTCAATGCAATTGGCCATCTACATAACTTCAGCCTGGAACTGTCATGAAGTTAAAGAACCATTATTCCCTTACTGTATTAGTTATGTCTTTATTCTTTTATAGCAAATTTCTATAATTAAAAAGTTTTGTAAGCACAATATAAAATTTATTGAATAATAGATGGATTCTGGGACATCTCTGAGTTGCTATTATGACTAGTTATATATTTCTGTATAAGCTAGGGTCCTTTGATTCCTCATAATGGTATTGGGATAATTGTGAAATCAGAATATGATTCTGCTATTTAGTTAATACCATACCTGTTTCAGTTCTGTTGCAATTAGTTATCTTAGAAGAAAAATAGTTTGTGGTCTATCTTGTAAATGCCTTAAAAAAACCATCCACTTTAATTAGGGGTTACTTATTTGAACATGGCTAGAAATTGGAATTGTTTTATTATAAATAACTTACTTGATATGTACTGTTTTAAAACTGATTATTTGATGTATTTATGTATACCATCCCTGAACCTTTTGTTATAATTGTAATTAGTCTGGCAACTTTTAAATGAATGTGTTTATGTATTGGAGTCCATCTTCTTATAAAAAAAAAGTTCTGTTATTACTTCCTTAGTAGAATCTCATACTCCTAATGGGGGAATCAATAACTTGAAATATAAAAACTGGGTTCTAGTTATTTTGTTTTTTTGAGTTTCTTAGATATATCAACATGACAATTGGCCAAGGTTACAAATTTCATTTCATAGAGATATAAAGGTTGAGCTAACTTTCATTATTTGACCCGGTTATTTGCAAAGTAACTTAAAATTGTGTTAAGACCAATTTTGTAGGAGATATTTAACAAATAAAGAGGATCTCAACAATCAACATGAGTCTAAGAGGACAGTCAGCTGGAAACTGCTTAGACCATACACAGACTAGAAAACTATCAGATGGTGTCCAGACAGCTGTATGAGATGAGACTTCTGAGCCTTAAATGGACAATTTTACTCCTTGTTTGCTTTTTCCCTTTGCATATTTTATCTGTATTGTCTACTTACTAAAAGGGGACACCCCCTTTTTGATTTTGTCAATGCATTGATAAATTTCTCCCTTCCTCCCCCCCCACATTATTACCCATCATAACTCCCAAAACTCTTGATGAAGTGTTGGCCATATCAGCTAGTGATTCATTGAGAAAGCTACACCTCTCATTAGAATCAGATGGGGGAATGTGAAAAATGATTTTTAATAGTCATTATCTTGGAGATTCAGAGCTTCCCCAAGCCCCCTTCTTCCAAAGTCCTGATTTTAAGTTCAGTTCTTCTTCAGAAAGACATTAATAATAATAAGATTGCATTGACTCTCCTTACCTTGGTCATACCCCATCCAAACTGGCAAATAATTTAATTTGTGGTCTGCTCAGGCTTGGCTGGAGACATATTCTTCTGTCTAGATAGGCCAAGGCTGGGACTGGTCTGGTATGGTGGGGAGTGTTCTGATAAAAGACGTATTTGCTCTGTCCAGCAGTAAAATGAAGATAGGGTGACATCAACCCTGTGTACCCTATATAAACTGTGCACCCTAACCACAAAATGAGCTCAGTTCCAACACTGTAACTCCCATGCATGCATGTTCACTGTGAGAGAAATAAAAATGGCATACTGCTACAATGTAATCTCATTTGTCCTTCTTAAATCAAATTCTTTCAGCTTGACAATATCAAAGGAAGTAATAAAAAGTGCAAAGGAAGGAAGTTTAGCAATATTGGATCTTAAACTATATTTATAAGGTAGTAATTATCTTTTTTTTACACTATAAATTTTTATTTTTTATCATTTGCTTTTAATAGTATTTTATATTGTAAAGACAATTTTTAAAGACTCATTTAAATTTTTTTTTGAGTTTCAAATTTTCTCCTTCTCTTCCTCACTTCCCCCCCTCCCTTAGATGGTAAGCTAGTTGATATAGATTTATATATGTCCAAGTAAAACAGTCATGTTTCAAAAGAAGAAACAGACCAAAAGAAAAAAAAATAAAGTGAAAATAGTATGCTTTTATCTAGATTCAGATGCCATCAGTTCTTTGTCTACATGTGGATAGCATTTTCCCTCCTGTGTCCTTTGGAACTGTCTTGGATCATTGTATTGCTAAGAAGAGCTATGTCATTCGTAGTTGTTTGTAGCACAATGTTGCTGATACAGTGTACAATGTTCTCCTGGTTCTAAGGCAGTAATTATCTAAACTATCTGGTACTGGCTAAGAAATATAAAGTTAGATCAGTGGAACAGAGTAGGCATACAATATATAGCAGTAAATGACTATAATAACTTTGTATTTAACAAGGGTAAAGACTTAAGTTTTGGGGATAAGAATTCATTATTTGGTAAAACTTGTTGGGAAAGCTGGAAAGGAGTCTGGCAGAAATTGGGCATAGAACAATATCTAACACCATTTACAAAAATAATATCAAAATGGATACATGACCTTGATATAAGGGGAGATATCACAGGAAAATTAGAACATGGAGCATATTACCTATCAGACTTATGTATAGGTAAACAATTTATCAATAAACAAGAGACAAAGAGCATAATGAGGTATAAAATGGATAATTTTGATTACATTAAATTAAAAGGCATTTGTACAAACAAAACCAATTTAGCCCAGATCAGAAGAAAAGCAAAAAATTGGGGAAAATTTTTATAGACAGTTTCTCAGGATAAAGGTTTCATTATATCTCAAATGTATAAAGAACTCACATCTCAAGTACATAAAGAACTTTCAGTCATTCCCTAATTGATAAATGGCCAAAGGATATGAACAAGCCGTTTACCCAATGAAGAAATCAAAACAATTTATAGTCATGTGAAAAAATGATCTAACTTGTTAATGATTAGAGAAATGAAAGTTAAAACAACCTTGAGATATCACTTTACACCTATAAGATTGGCAAAAATGATTGAAGGGGAAAGTAACATATGTAGGAAGGGATGTAGAAAAATCAGGACACTAATTTACTGTTGGTAGAACTGTGAATTAATCCAACCATTTTGGAGAGCAATCTGGAATTACACCTAATTAAACTGCCTATACCCTTTGACCCAGCAGTAACATTATTAGATCTGTTTCCAAAATGATTAAGGAAAAAGGAAAAGAACCTATATGTTCTAAAATATTTACAGCAGCTCTTTTTGTGGTGGCAAAGAACTGGAAGTTGCAGGGATGTCCATCAATTGGGAAATGGCTGAACAAGTTGTTATATATGATTGTGATGGAATACTACTATGCTATAAGAAATTGTAAGCTCCATAATTTTAGAAAAACATGGAAAGACTTGTATGAAATAATGAAAAGTGAAATGAACAGAACCAAGAGAACATTGTATATAGTAATAGCAACATTGTTTTAAGAACAACTGTGAGCAATTAAGTCTTTTTGAGTATTGTAAATAGCAAAATTAACTACAAAGAACCAATGAAGGAAGATGCTATTTGCCTCCAAAGAAAGAATCGATAACTAGAAGTATGTACAATATGGTTTTACATATATATACATATCTGTGTCTAATGATAGCCATCTCTATTGGGGAAAGGAGAAAATATTAATAGAGGATAAAAGAGATTTAGAAGGAATCATAGAAAGCAGAGAAGCTTTGAAGTAATACTTACATAATTTTTTTAAAGTCAATAGCGTGAAATGTAAATTCACGTCTTTAAAATGAATTCTCTTTTTAGGTTGTGCTGTGTACATGGAAATTTTTTTTTTGTTCTTAAGTTCAAAATGAATAAAAACATTAAAATAACTAATAAGCTGGAGGTAAAAAGGAAATGTAGCAGTTGGAACAGTCTGACCTGAGAATTCTCGGGCATGAACATCTGAGATTTCACAGGCAAGGCAATGACGTCAATGACACAGACGTCTCTGCCAAAACTTCCCATAGAGTGCAATTCTGCCTTGGATACATACTAAAGGCAAGTTGAGTAAGAGACACAGAAATTAAGATGGCAACATACAGTAGGAAGGAACGATGAATTTGTCGAAAAGTTCTTAACAAAAACCAATTCTCTATGTAGGAAAGAAAGAGTGTTGCAGCTAGAGAAACGATACCGGGAAACAAGAAAATCTAATGCACCACCAAGCATTTGCCTAGCTGCTGAGGTCTTTTGATGTTTTATTTATGTGGGCATTCTGTTAACTCCGAAAGGGAATCCCTCACATCAGTGAGATCACACTTAAGTGTCCAAATACTGCATTATTTATCAGTATCTTAAAAATACGAAAAGCACTGGACCTGGAAGAATCAGGATACTTTCATAACCTGCTTCTTACACTATCTGTAAAACCATGGACACAGTCAGTTGACTACCCTTTTGCCGGTAGTCTGTAAAACAACGATAATGTTATGTACACTACCTATCACATAAGGTTATTACGAAATGCGTCCTTTGTATTGTTATGATATTGTGTGCATGAATTATTATTATTTGCACAATAATCCTGAGATACCATATTTTGAAATAAAAGGTTAACATGATAGACCTGAGAATGGACCATTCTACCTTCATTTACATCAGGGGTTCTTGGGCTGCAATGAACTGTTTTGTTTTAATCTTGATATCTGTGTTTCAATATGGTTGGTTTTCTTTATAATCTTATGTACCTAGTGTTACGTATTTATATTCCGAGAAGGGAAACATAAACTTGAACAAATTGCTAAGGAGAAAGGTTAAGAAACCCCTAAGCCTTCACACTGTTTTAAAGTAACTGCAAAGCTTGGCCACTTCCTAAAGCTACCCGATAGGTCAAGGTAAACGTTAAGTCATCAATTAGACGCGGTCTCCTATTGGGTATCTGATTTACAAGCTCGAGCCACAGAATGGCTCCTTCCTATTGGAGAGGACGGCTTTCCAGCTAAGTCGTCGGCCTTCCATAGGCTGAGCGCTTGACGTAAGCAGCGGCGCCTCATTCACGTGTTGGGAAGGGCTCGGCCGGCTCGGAGGAGGTGTGTGTTCTTATCCACATAGACTACTCGTTGCTGCATGTGGCCTCTGTGGTTGCTTTGGGCCATTCCGGGTCGCAGGGGCTACTGGAGCTTGAGGTTTGGGAGAGCCATGTCTGAGGGTTCCGCTCGCCGACCGCGGCCTCCCAAGGACCCTCTGCGGCATTTGCGTACGCGAGAGAAGCGCGGTCCTGCTGGGGATCGCGGGGGACCCAGCACTGTGTACCTGCAGGTGGTGGCCTCTGGGACCCGCGATGCGGGCTCGGCTCTTTACGTCTTCTCGGAGTTTAACCGGTCAGTTCGCCTTCTGTCCAACCTTGACCAGCTTTCTCATTATCATGCTCCCGCCTTTCCCTTTGCCCTCCCCGCCCCCCGTCGCCCCACTTCGTTCTCCTTTCATCTTTCCTCAGATTCTGTCCAGTGGAGGCAGGCTCCCGGCCTTAAGTTTGATTCCCTGCTTTGCACTGTGTTACTGACCTTGGGCAAGTCACTCCCCTTGGTTCCCTTAAAATGAGAAGGTTGGACTTGGTGGACCCCAAAGCCCCTTCTAGGATCATGCCCTCGGTAGTGTAGAAGTCATTTCCGTCCTGAACACCTTGACGGGTACTCCCCATCCCTGTGCTAACCAGAGGCTGTGTGATTGGGTGGGAAGTGCTGAATTTGGAGTCAGGACCTAGGTTCAGTGATCTGGTTCTGCTACCTCTATGACATTTCGTGAGCCTTTCCACCTCCCGGGGCCTCAGTGTACTTATTTGTAAAAATGAGAAGTTGGTCTGTGTGATCTTGGAGGACACTTCCAGCTCTAAATCTATATAGTCTTATACACAGCATAGTGGAGAAAAGGTATAATTGAGCAATAGCCTAGTCTCTACAAACAGACTTTTCTTTTAGGGATGAATAGAATTTAAAAACCACAACCCTTCAGGACTAAAGAGAGAACTTGGGAAAAGGTGAGGAGGGAAAACTGGGAATGTTTTGGGAAAAACTTTGAATATAAATGGGGCACTTATACCCTGCCTTAAAAACTCTTGATACCAGCTGAAATGACTTGGATGATATTTTTGTAGGTATCTATTCAATTGTGGGGAAGGCATCCAGAGGATCATGCAGGAACACAAGTGAGTTCATCTTCCTTTTGGGTTTGTGGTTGATTCTGGGTTTTGTTCTTTGTAAGGATTTTTGAGGACAATGAAAACAACAACATTTTGTAAGAAAATAGGAACTTTATAAAGACATTTTTTATCGATTTAACACATTTATCAATGTGTCCTTCCGTTTTATTTTCTAGACTGAAAATTGCTCGCTTGGATAACATCTTCCTGACTCGAATGCACTGGTCCAATGTTGGAGGTTTGTCTGGTGAGTTTGTTTTTAGGTACAGGGTACTGGGAAGGAATCCCTAGTAGTATCCTGGAATTTCAACTAACCCTGATAACTTTAAAAAAAATTAATTTATTTTTAGTTTTCAACATTCACTTTCATAAAATTTGGAGTTTTAAATTTTCTCCTCCTCCCTCTCCTTTGCCCCTCCTTCTAAGATGCTGTGCAATCTCATATATGCTCTACTTAGTATACATTCATATTAAGCATATTTTCCCATTAGTCATGGTGTAAAGAGCTAATAGGAACCTCGAGAATGAAGCAATAAAACAAAACAACAAAGGAAAAGGAGAGCAAAGAGTATGCTTCCAATCTGCATTCAGACTCTGGATTCTTTCTCTGGATGTAGATAGCATTTCCCATTGTGGGTCTTTTGGAGTTGTCTTAGATCCTTGCATTGCTGAGCAGAGCCAGGTCTATCAAAGGCAGTCATCATACAACGTGGCTGTTACTGTGTTATAATGTTCTCCTGGTTCTGCTTATTTCACTCAGCATCTGACCATACAAGTCTTTCCAGGTTTGTCTGAAGTCTGCCTGCTCATCATTTCTTATAGCACAGTAGTATTACATTACATTCATATATCACAACTTGTTCAACCATTCCCCAGTTGTTGGCCATCTGCTCAATTTCCAATTCTATGCCACTGCAAAAAGAACTGCTGTAAATATTTTTGTACATATGGGTCCTTTTCTCTTTTTTATGGTCTCTTTGGGATACAGCCCTAGAAGTGGTACTGCTGGGTCAAAGGGTATGCACAGTTTTATAGCCCTTTGGGCATCATTCCAAATTGCTCTCCAGGATGGTTGGATCAGTTCACAACTCCATCAACAATGCATTAGTGTTCCAAATTTTCCACATCTTCTCCAACATTTATGATTTTCCTGTTGTGTCTTGTTAGCCAATCTGATAGGTGTGATGTAGTACCTGAGGATTGTTTTGATTTGCATTTCTCTAATCAGTAGTGATTCCCTGATCACTTCTTGTCTCAATATTAACTCATCTATTTAGCAAATAATTACTGGCTGTCTGATGTATTCTAGATACCATGACAATTCAGGTGAGCTAGAGCACTTGCTTCTCTAGCCTATTCATCATTAGTGTGCTAAGTAAAACCTGTGATTTGTGAAGGAATCATCTTTAATCAGTGGACCAATTTTGAATATTTATTACCCATTTGACTTGCTTTGCTGCTGTGCCAAAGATTTGTGGCAGGAAACTAAAAAGGGTGATATATGGGTAGTAGTCATGACTCATGGATTAAATAGGTCTGTAGTGTAGGCATATTGACTGATAGAGTAAACAGAATTCTGGGCTTGGAGGTAGAAAGTGCTGGATTCAAATCCTACCTTCAATACTTAGTAACTATATCATCCTCATGGGTCACTTAATATTGTCAAGAGCACTGTGCTAAGTTCTGGGGATATAGATAGAAACATAAGATTCTTTACTCTCTCCTGTTTTAATGAGACAACACATATAGATGATTTCATTTGCAAATCAAATGGAAAATTCTCGTGGTTCTTAGGGTGCAACAGCAAAGTAGATGGTAATGCATCTTTTTACCGTTAATTCTACTGCTAAAACCAATGCCAGTGGCCTTGATGATGAGAACTTTCTGAGTCTTCAGTACCTATGACTGTAGGACCTGCAGAATCAGTTGTCAGGTTGAATCACCACAAGAGTTGCTTCCAAGGAGAGATACCTGCAAGGGCTAGATTGGAAGGAGAACTGGTGGTTTTGGGGGGAAGCTGTCACTCACAGGACTTCTAGACTGACATGCTCATCAGAGCCATTTGGCCACCATTTGGTGATGGTGGTGATAAAGAAGATGATAAGGAATATATGTACAGTGATTGCTCTCTTTGATGATGGACATGGGGCTTGGGCTAGCAACAAGGCCTTGGGGTGCTGCTATTTCCAAGACTATTGTGTAAAGGGCCCTGGGCTTTTTCCAGCAGGGTCTGGAAGGGAAGGGTTGGGATTGGTGAGGTGGTGGTTTCACTTGAAACATTTTGCCTCCTATCTCTCCCTCAGGGTACCTTGCTGCTTCAGCTGGGCTGGCTTGCCAGGCTTCTAGGTGGTGATTTGGTTGGCGTTTTATGGGATGACTTATCTCTTCCCTGTAGAAATTACTTTCCTGGATTGTTGGTGGAGATGGAGACTAGACTGGAAGCAGGGCCAATAGTCTTATAATAGAGGGTAGAGGAAGTGGCCCTGCTACTCCCCCAACACTCTTAGTTTCAGAATGTTGGGCTTTCTCCACCAGTCTCTTAGGGGAGGTGATGGTGGTGGTTTGATTTGCCTGGCACATGCTGCCTCCTTACTCTCAGAGTGTCTTGCTGCAATTTTATGCCTGTGTATGTTTATGCACTGGGAGAACAAATTCTTCTCCTGCACCAATGCAGATCAGCGCCTTCTGCAGCTTATAATTTTAAAAAGGTGGGACTTGAATTCAGGTCTTCCTGCATCCAAGCCCAGAACTCCATTACGTTTTAGGTTGTTGATGTCTCAGAGATTTGAAGTTCAGAAGACTCCTCCCAAACAATATCACAGAGTCTTTTTTTTTTGCTTGTTTGTTTCTTGTTGGTTTTTTTTCTTTGCTAAGCAGTGAGGTTAAGTGACTTGTCCAGGGTCACACAGCTAGTAAGTAAGTGTCAAGTTTCTGAGGTCGGATTTGAACTCAGGCCCTCCTGAGTCCAGGGCCAATGCTCTATCCACTGTACCACCTACCTGTCCCCAGTATCACAGAATCTTTCCATATTTACATATTCGCTACTGTGCCAGACCTAATTGCTGAGTATTATATTCCTTATTTCTGTCCACTGCTGAACCAAAATTTTTAAGTGTTTTTCTGCTCTGTGGATAATTTCTGATGATTGCCCACACCCTCTTACTCACCTGTTTCACCCAAATTTTCATTGTCATCTGGGCTGCCAATTTTCCCTGCTTCCTTCTTAGAAGGTGAAATACAGACAAGAGGACAGCTAGTTAAATGGGGTGAGGTCATTTCCTCTTTTAAAGATAAGCCTTGACAGGAAAGAGTGCCTCAAATAGTAATCTCAGTTACAAATGGCAAAGAGATCTGTATGATTTTATAATATCCACCTTATTTCTTTTTAGGAATGATTCTTACCTTAAAGGAAACTGGGCTTCCAAAATGTGTTTTTTCTGGACCACCACAGTTGGTAAGTTTGAGTTGTTTAAACAAACAAACAAACAAACTTTGGTCTAAAAATTTGTCAAAAGGAAATCTTTGTTGACTGGGATTCTATATGGGAATTCTTATAATGGCCCAACTGGCTTGTTTACCAGGTACCTTGGGTTTCAGGGCTGGAGAGAGCAGGGAAATGGTCAAAGGAGATTGGGGAGGGCTAATTAAATACCAGAAAAAAGTGATTGTTACCGTGTGGTATGAAGAGAGGCAGATAATATTGAAAAGAGCATTTAACTTGGAGTACGTTCTAGTTTTGGCAAATCTCTTAGATTCCTTAAGCCTGTTTCTTCATGTTTAAAATAAGGGGAGCAGATCATTCTGTGAGATCTCTTTGGGATCCCTTTCACATCTAACAATCCATAATTCTGTAAGCTTTTAATATTAGTAATGTCACTTTAGGACTATTCTTACAAAGCAGAATTATGCTATATAGCATAAATTCTAGATAATTTGCAAATCAGCAGCAGCTTGTTGACCTGGCCTCTTTCCTTCTGACTCAATTGTACTGAGCCCAGTCTTCAAATATGGAAAGCAAACAACTTGAATTTTTCTTAAGAGAAGACTTCTAGTGGTTCAAATTATGGGATCTTGTGTTCTAACTTTCATTGTAGCTCTGGCTACCTTCCATGAGTTAGGCAACATTTTTCTAACATCTGTAGAGAGTTTTGTTTTTATCAGATACATTCTCAACTTGTATCAACTTGTAGATATGATAGAATGTCTTATCTTTCTCTTTATAGGAAAAATACTTAGAAGCTATCAAAGTATTTTCTGGTCCATTGAAAGGAATAAACTTGGGTATGTGTTCAACAATGATTTATCTACTATTCTGTTCCTATGTGGTTTTACTATGTTGTCAGCCTTAAGATAAAAACTGGCCCTCAGGCAAATCTTATGAAAAAAACCCTTATATCAAATAATTGATATTTTCAGAATGTTTTCTTTTATCCCTTAGTCTTATTCATCACAGGTTAAGTCAGGTTGTATCAACAAACACTTGTTATTCTGTGGCAGGCACTTCTTAAGTGATCAGGGTACAAAGAAGGCCAAAAACCAGTCCATGTCCACAGGAAGCTCGTTTTAGTGATAGAGACAATATGCAAACAATTATATACATGTAAGGTATATACAGAGTAAATTGGAGTTGATCTCAGAGCAAAGACAACAACAGTGAGAGTGGCCATTTACATATGCCTTATATAAAAAGCATAAAAGCCTTTTATAGAAGGTAGGATTTGGGTTGAGCATTGAACAAAGCCAGAGAAGTCAGAGGTATAAACAGGGAGAGCATTCCAGGAATGAGGTACAGCTAGTGAAAAGGCATGGAGGGTCTTATGTCCAGTGCCACTGGATTGTAGAGTACCTGGAAAAGAGTTAAAAAGAAGACTGGAAAAGTAGGAGGGATCAAGTTGTGAAGCCCTGTACAAGGCAAACAGAATTTTTTATTTGATCCTAGAGGTAACAGGGCCAAATATTCTATTGAATAGAGGAGTGATATGACCAGATGTGTGCTTTAAGATCATCACTTTGGCAGCTGAGGGAAGGATGAACTAGAGTTGGGAGAAAATTGGAGACAAGTAGAGCTACCAAAAGGCTATTGCAATGGGACATGGTCTGTACTGGGGTGGTGGCAGAGTTAGAGGAGAGAAGGGGATGTATAGGAGATGTTTAGAGGCAGAATCAATGGAACTTGGCAACTGGTAGGTTATGGTGAGATGGAAATGAGGAGTGAAGTATGATACTTAGGTTAGGAATATGGTAGAATTTAATAGGAAATTTGGAAAAAAGATGGGGATTGGGGGAAAGGTAATATATTCACCTTTGGACAAGTTGAGTTTAAGATGTTATATTTATAGAACATCTGTTTCAAAATGTCCAATAGCAATTGGAAATGCAGGACTGGAAGTTAGGGTGGGATAAATTTGAGAATTTCTTATTAGAGATAATTGAATATGGGAGAGCTAATGAGACCACAAAGCAAAATAGTATAGAGGAAAAAGAAAAGAAAGCCTTGGAGGAACAGCTATTGTTAATGAGTGTGACCTGGATGCAGGAAAGGAGACTGAGGAGTAGTCAGGCAGATAGGAGGAACACCAGGAGGAAACAGTGTCGTGAAAATCTAGAAAGGAGCAAGTATCAAGGAGAAGGTGAAAAGGCCATTGGATAGTTAGGAAATCATTGGTAACTTTGACAGATCAGTAATAGTTGAATGGTGAGGTCATATGCCAGACCGCAGAGAGGTAAGAAGAGGGGGAAAGGAAAATAAGTGGAGTTGCCAGTTGTGATGACTTTCTCAATGAGTTTTATCCATGAAAGGGAGGAGAGATAAAGGATAATAGCTGTAGGGATTGGTCAGATTAAGTAAAGGTGTTTTAAAGATTGAGGAGACATGGATGTTTTACGTGCATCATGGAAGTTGCCAGTAGAAAAAGGAGTGAAGATTAATTAGAAAGTAGAAATGGTAGAGGGGGCAATCTGTTAGATGAAATGGGATCACTAGTGCACATATGAGAAGTTTGATTTGTCAAGAAAAGCCACCACTTGAGATGACACAGGTGTAGGAGGACATAGTGGGGAAAAGCATCTGAGTGAAATGAGATGAGGCAGCAGTAAGAGGGAGGTATAGGTGAATGGCCTTAATTTTTTTCCTGTGAAATAAGACAAGCTGAGGGGGAGGAGGTAGATCCATGGGAGAGTCAAGGAGGGATGAGAAGGTTTGGAAGAGCCTCTCTGTGTAATGAGATAATGAATGATTAGGGAGGTTAAAAAGGATTGCCTTGCTGCAGCAAAGGCCCATTTGAGATTTTGTAACAAATTTTTAGTGGACCCATTCAGTATGGTTTTGTAATTTTACTCCAGCTTTATTCAACAACAGGTGGAACAGAGGCATCATATAGTGAGAGTGATCCAAGATTGGAGCATAACAAGTCATGATCTTTCATAAAAAGAGGGGGGAAAGGGACTCCAGTATAGATTTAAACTGGTGGGGAATAGAGGGGAGTGTAGTCATTGAATGGAGTGATGGCCTTGGAAAGAAGTGAGGGATGGAAGGATTAGCAATCACAGTGAGAACAGAAAAACAAGGTTCAGGGTCATAAGGCAAGGGGAAAAAATGATAAAATATAATCAGATAAAATAATTTCATTCACAGTTCTTTAGCATTGAAGGGGGGAATACTTGTAGGTGATGATCAAGGATATGATCATCTCTAGCTGTGGTGGAATAGGTCATGGGAAATAGGTACTTCAAAGAACAAAGAAGTTTGGATGTTTGAGAGAGTCTTCATATATTGTTGAAGTAAGAGGGCAGGAATTACAGAGGAAAGCCTGGGAGCCAGTTGATGAATTCATTAAAGAAGGAAGGGGAGAATCCTCGGGGTTTCTAGATAAAAGTTAATCATAATTTTGATTGGGTAATATAGATAAATTGAAACTCAAAGAGGTTACTGAGTGATGGTGGTAAAGGGAGAGTCTTAAAGTGTCAAATGGGGAGCAAAGAGTCTCTAGGAATAATTTTTTTTATTAATTTATTTTTCTTTTTCAACAATCACTTCCATAAGCTTTTGAGTTTTAAATTTTTCTCCGCTTCCCCAAGATGGCGCTCAATCTGATATAGACTATACATATCCATTCCTATTAAACATGTTTTCACGTTAGTGATCTTGTAAGGAAGAATTAGAACCAATAGGAGGAACCACAAGAAAGAGAAAACAACAAAACAGAAGGAAAAAAATAGCAAATAGTATGCTTCCACCTGCATTCGAACTCTGTAGTTCTTTCTTTGGATATGGATAGCATTTTCTATCATGAGACCTTTGGAGATGTCTTTGATCCTTGCATTGCTGAGAAGGGCTAAATCTATCAACATTAGTCATCACACGACGTGGTTGTTATTGTATACAGCTTTCTCCTGGTTCTGCTAACTTCACTCAGCATCAGTCCATACAAGTCTTTCCGGGTTTTTCTGTAGTCTGCCAACTCATCATTTCTTATAACACAATAGTGTTACATTACATTCATATACCATGACTTGTTTAGCCATTCCCCAGTTGATGGACATCCCCCTCAATTTTCTAGGAATAATTTTTAAAAGCAACTGTGTACAGATACAGTATTGTGGGTTCTAAATAGTTGCTCCTCATTTTAGATAGATTTAATGTTGCAACTACTGTGGATGACTCTGCCTTCCTACCACCCTGTGTTTTCCTGCCTCTGCTTTTATTTATTCATTATTCCTAAAATACTTTTCCTCCTTCTTGTCTGTTGACATCTTATGTTTTAAAGCCCAAATCATTGCCACTTTCTCTGTTGTCTTCCTTTTACTCTGCAGTTGTTAGTGAACCCCCTACTTAAACCCAGAATAGCATTTTGTTTTGTTGCCTCTGTAATGCAAGTATTGAGTATCATGGTTATCAATATATTTCTTAATATATATCAGTATATGTCTTAACACTTCAGTTTGCAATATGCTGTATTAAGGAGAAAAGACTCTTAGAAAAACAAAGTTAAAAATACTAACTAAGTCTAACCAGATCTACACCAAGAAAATCTGCTGGAGGGAGCACCATCTTAAAAGCATGGAGAGATCATTTTTAAAGATTGCAGAAAGAGAATATATTATAAGAAAAGAAATATGAACACTGTTGAAACATGAACCCAGTAAAGACCATCCATAACTATAAATGCAGGTGTCTCCCTTCTCATAGACATTAAGAAGATGAGAAAAATCTATATTTGTATTAAGAGTATCCTTGATGAAAATGAGAAAGGAACAAGCTAAATTTTGTAGTTGACTGGTCCAGTCATTACAGCCACTCAATGACTAAATTGTGCAAAGTATACAAGATCCAGCTTGTTTATTTTTTGTTGAATACCAGTTCTTCCCTTCCCCTCAAAAAAAAAAAGATTAGAAAAATGAACCCTTAAAGACTGCTGTTCAATAAATGTTTCCTGTATATGTTAAATTGGTCCTTCATAAACAGCTACAGTGATTGTCTGGTTACTTATATCAGTAGGGAGTTGTGCTCCTCTAAAGCTGTTTTTCATAATTATAGGATGTTCATTCAAAGGCCGTATAGAAGAGAGGTTCCCTCTAGATGGTGAGGTCCTCCAGATTCTCCTGTTTGTGTATGACATTGTCCTGATTACATTAAGCCCCAGAACGTTACTAGACTTCCTCAGTGAAAGCTATGATTATTCAAAAGAGATTGACCTAACAGTCCATGCAGGAAAAATTAAATGGATAAGAAATGCCTATTGTCTAGATAATGACATGAGTAGATGGATAAAGAAATGCCTATTTTTCAGACCATGACATGCAGTAGGGTGGGCAGTCCATTGAATTAATCCATCAGTAACATTACCTGGGACACACCTTGTAGACAATAGTGAAATAGGCCTAGAATTCAGTAGGAGTAAGACAGCAGGCTTTGTCGTTGTTAAGTCATGTCTGACTCTTGGGGACCTCATGGACCGTGGCAAGCCAGGGCCTTCTCTCCTCCAGTATCTTGAAGTCTGTCCAAATTCATGTTTGTTGTTTCTGTGACACTACCTCTCTTTCTCATCCTGTGCCATCCCCTTTTTCTTTTGCCTTCAATCTTTCCCAGCTTCCCAGTCTTTTCCACTGAATGCAGTCTTCTCATTATGTGGCCATTGTATTTAAACCTTGGCTACAATATTTGACCTTCCAGTGAATAATCTGAAATAATTTCTCTAAGTATTGACTGATTTGATCTCTGTGCTGTCTATCAAAAGTCTTCTCCAGCACCACACTTTGAAAGTGTTGATTCTGTGGTGCTCAGCTTTCCTTATAGTCTAACTCTCACAGCCATACATTGCTACTGGAAAAATCATAGCTTCTGAGTATATGGATCTTTATTGATATGCTGTCCAGATTTGGCATAACTTTCCTTCCAAGGAACAAGTGTCTTTTAATTTCATGGTGTCAGTCACCATCTGCAGTGATCTTTGAGCCCAAGAATATAAAATCTGACAGTGCTTTCATTTCTTCTCCCTCCATTTGCCAGGACATAATGGAGCCTGTTGCCAAGATGTTAATTTTTTTGATGTTAAGCTTCAAGCTAGCTTTTACACTCTCCTCTTTTACCCTTATTAAGAGGCTTCTTGATTTCTCTTCACTTTCTGCAGTCAGAGTGTTATCAGCATATCTGATGTTGTTGCTCTTTCTCCCAGCAACCTTAATTCCATCTTTTGATTCATCCAGCGTGGCATTTTGTATGATGTACTCTGCATATAAGGTAAATAGATATGGTGGCAATATGTAGTGTTGTTGTACTTTCCAATCATAAACCAATCAGTTGGTCCATGTTTGCTTCTAACTGTTACTTCTTGGCCTGTATACAGGTTCCTCAGGAGACAAGTAAGATGATCTGATACTCCCAACTCTTTGAGGACTTGCTACTTTTGTTGTGATCAGTGAAGCAGAAGTAGATGTTTTTCAGGAACTCCTTGCTTTCTCTATAATCCAGTAAATGTTGGCAATTTGATCTCTAATTCTTCTGCCTCTTGGAAAACCAGCTTGCTTTTCCGGTAATCCTCGCATCACATATTGATGAAGCCTAGTTTGCAGAATCTTAAGCATAACTGTGCTGGCCTGTTAAGTGAGTGCAATTTTTCAGTAATTTGAACATACTTTGGCATTGTTGTTCTTTAGGATTGGGATATAAATGGATCTTTTCCAATCCCAAACTTTTCCAGTCCCAAGTTTGCTGCCATATTGAGGTGCAGCACTTTATTTTATTTTATTTTATTTTTTGAGTGCAGCACTTTAACAGCATTATCTTTTAGGATTTTAAATAGCTTAGCTGGAATTGCATACCTCTACTAGCCTTATTGTAATCAATGCTTCCTAAGGCACACTTGACTTCATTCTCCAGGATGTCTTGCTCTGGATTAGTAACCGCACCGTCATGGTTATTAGTGATGTTAAGATAAGTTAAGATCTGGTACAGTTCTTCTGGATATTCTTGCAACTTCTTAATTTCTTCTGCTTCTATTTAGTTAGTCCTTATCATTTTTGTCTTTTATTATGCCCATTTTTTAATTAATTTATTTTTTGTTTTTAATATTTACTTCATAACATTTTGAGTTTTAAGTTTTCTCCCCCCTCCCCAAGACAGTGTGTAATCTGATATAGGCTTCACTTATACATTCATATTAAGCATATTTCCCATCAGTCATGATGTGAAGAAGAATTAGAACTGATGGGAGGAACCATGAGAATGAAACAATAAAACAAAACAACAGAAGGAGAGCAAATAGTATGCTTCCATTTGCATTCAGACTCCATAGTTCTTTCTTTGGATGTGGGTAGCATTTTCCATTGTGAGTCTTTTGGAGTTGTCTTAGATCCTTGCATTGCTGAGAAGAGCCAAGTCTATCAAAGTCAGTCGTTACACATCATGGCTTTTACTGTGTATAATGTTCTCCTGGTTCTGCTCATTTCACTCAGCATCAGTTCATGTAAGTCGTTCCAAGTTTGTCTGGATGAACTGCTTGCTCATCATTTCTTATAGCACATTCCATTATATTCATATACCACAACTTGTTCAGCCGTTCCCCAGTTGTTAGCTGTCCGCTCAATTTCCAATTCTTGGCCACCACAAAAAAGAGCTGCTATAAATATTTTTGTACATTTGGGTCCTTTTCCCTTTTTTATGATCTCTTTGGGATACAGACCAAGAAGTGGTACTGCTGGGTCAAAGGATATGCGTAATTTTATAGCCCTTTGGGCATAGTTCCAAATTGCTCTCCAGAATGGCTAGATCAGTTCACAACTCCACTAACAATGCATTAGTGTTCCAATTTTCCCACATCTTCTCCAACATTTATCATTTTCCTTTTTGGTCTTGTTAGCTAATCTGATAGGTGTGATGTGTTACCTCAGAGTTGTTTTGATTTGCATTTCTCTAATCATTAGTGATTTAAAGCATTTTTTTCATTTGGCTATAGATAGCTTTAATTTCTTCCTCTGAAAACTGCTGTTCATATCCTTTGACCATGTATCAATTGGGGAATAACTTGTATTATTATAAATTCAACTTATTTCTCTATATGTTTTAGAAATGAGACCTTTGTCAGAGATAATGGCTGTAAAAATTGTTTCCCAGCTTTCTGCTTTCCTTCTAATCTTGGTTTCATTGGTTTTATTTGTTATCATGCCCATTTTTGCATGAAATGTTCCCTTGATATCTCTAATTTTCTTGAAAAGACCTTGTCTTTCCCACTCTCGTGTTTTCTTCTATTTCTTTGCATTACTCATTTAAGAAAACCTCTCTCCTTGCTATTCTCTAGAATTCTGCGTTTAGTTGGTTATATCTCTTTCCCTTTTATTCCCCTTCACTTTCCTTCTTTCCTCAGCTATTTGTAGTCTTATCAGACAGTCATTTTGCTTTCTTGCTCTACTTTTTCTTTGTTGCTGTCTCTTGTGTAATATTGTGTACCTCTAACAATAATTCTTTAGCATTCTGTCTACCAGCTCTGATTCCTTAAATCTCCCCCACTTCATATTTATAAAGGATGTTATTTAAGTCATACCTTTATGGTAAGATGGTTTTCCCTACTTTTTTCAGTTTGAGTTTGAATTTTGCAATAAGCAGCTCATGATCTGAGCCATAGTCAGCTCCAGGTCTTGTTTTAACTGACTGTATGTATAGAGATTTTCCACCTTTGGCTGCACAAGTATATAATTCATTTGGTTTCTGTATTTACCATCTGGTGATGTCCATGTGGGTTATTCAGAAGAAATGTTTGTTATGACCAGTGAGTTATCTTGATAAAATTAAGACAACAGGCATTGGATTGCTTTGGATATATAGTACTTAAAAATAATAGCTCTAATTATAGTGGAAAAGATTAGTGATATTTTAACCTATAGATGCTCTGTAAGTTCTAATTTATGGTGATGAAAGTATTTTTCTTTCTCTGATTTGTCTTTTTAAAACTATTAGAATGCTTTGCTTCATTTAGTGATGTGAAGTTATATAGTATGGTGAAGTGAGGAAGATCTGGATTCAAGTCTTTCCTCTGACACATATTGGTTTTGTGGTCCTGGGCAAGGCACTTACTGTCTCACTACCCCAAGACTATAAAATTGCAGAATGCATATTAGTCCCTGAGTCAATGAAATTATAGGTCCAGGCCAAAACAAAAGGCCATGAAAAGTTAGGAACACAAATTCTTATCCACAGTAAAGAGAATTGGGTTGTTTTGTGGTCTAATCTTGTTTCACTTCCTCTATGACTATCTATACTAATTTGTTCTTTTGTGCTTTTGTTAAATATCTCATAGCTGTCCGACCCTATTCAGCTCCAGAGTACAAAGATGAGACGATGACAGTTTTTCAGTTGCCTATACAAAGTGAGTATGAGAGTTTAACTTCCTGATAGGAGGGTGTGTGGTTTTCTAGATAAAGGCTATCTGGATGGAAACTAAATTGTTCCTATCAGTCAGTCAATACATGTATACATACATTTCTGTCAACCAGTCATAGACATATACATACACAGCATTTCCTTTACATTCTTGTGATACAGATAATATTTTTATTATACCCATGAGTTGTTGTAGGGAATATAAAAGTTTAGGGAATGGTAACTTGTACTTCATGTAGGAAAAGACACAACTACTGTAACTTTCAAATTGCCTGTTATATAGATTAGACCAGAGGAATTAAGAGAAAAGATGATAAGATTGAGAATTGGAGAAGTTCAAGTTGATTTGGAGTGAGAAGACCTGGGTTCAATTTCTGGTTTTGCTGATTGGGCAAATGACTTCATCTGTCTGTACTTCATTTCCTCTTCTAAAACACCTTTAAAGTTTCTTCAGTCTCCAGCATTCTGTGGTTTTATGATGTTAAAAGTTATTTAGTATAATTTCATTATACAGGTGGAAAAACATCCAGAAAGGTAAAGTGTCTTGCCGTGGTCATAAAGGTCATAAAAAATAGAGCCCAAATTTGAATCCAGGTCTTTGATTCCAAATATAGTGTTCTTTATACTTTACTGTCTCAGAGCTTGAGCATTAGGGAGAGCTCCATGAAACACAGAGGACATTTTAAGTGGAGAGAACAGCATAAGCCAAAGCATTGATGTTTTTGGGACCATAAGGAGACTGTCCTTACAGTAAAAACTTGAAACAAAAGGGATAGAAAAAGTGTTATAAGAAAATAGGTTGTGTACTTTATCTGACAATAATAGTGGGTTATTTCTGACCTTAACATTGAAAATGTCTTGAATACCTCAAAGGATCAAGCTATGTCAATTGATGCAGTGTATTTATTATTTGTATGGCAAAGAAAATAGAAGTAGTTGGATGTAATTTCATACTGAAAAAATACATCGATTGACAGGTCTTATGCTTCTGCTGTTAAGAGAAAACTGAATAAAGTTGGAACAGTTATTTCTGCTATCTCAGCAGGATAAACAATATTGTTTTTACCTAGTTGTATTTAATTTAAAGTCATGTTACAACTAATAATAGTTTAGTTTACTAGTAGCTAGTAAGCTATCTTTATATAGTATTTTAATGTTCACAACATTTTCTTCACAGTGTCTCTGTTAGGTGGTTAAATGTCTTTCACTGAAGTCCTCCTTCACTGATGCCCCATTATGATGTAGTGCCCTAGGCTTTTATAACAAGATGCTAATAGAGCACAGGTGCTGGTAGCTCCTATCAGACTGGTTATGGACTGCATGCCTTTCAGTTTACCAGTGTAACTGAGTCAGGGATGTTCATTACCAGATTGACCATAGCACCTCACTGAAATACTTGTCATAGAAAGTTAAGATTTGTTGGTGGAAAGGAGTACTCCCACCACTTATTGATATCACAGATCTTTGAAGTATTAAAGTAAGAAATCAGCATTCTGGGATATATTTTTGGTTTGAATTGTAGCATTCAGGGAGAAAAACTGTTTAAAAAGTTGTCAGTCATGACACCACATAAAATTTTTCACCTAGGCCTATGAGAGGCAGCATGGTATGGTTCAGAGAGTATATCCATATGTAATATTCACACTTGGAAGTCAGAGCATCTAGCTTCAAGATCTGGCTCTGTTCCTGTGATCTTAACTGAGAATCACTTCCCCATTGCATCTCAGTTTCCTATGTATAAGATGTGGGGAATTGTACTGAGGTCCTTTCCTTCTCTAGGTACCATGAATGTGTAGAAGGTGTCTTTGAGGTAGATAAACTTCTTTCTGCTCTGGTTATTTTCTGGAATGATAGAGCAGTTCACCCAAGGAAATTACATTGCAATTGAACTAATCTCATTTTATGAAGTTTATACCAGCTGAGAAACATCTCTGCTTTGAATATAGGGTTTCTGTCGTTTGATATCTAATTTGGTTTCTTTCTCTACTATTCAGGTAAAGGGGTTGCAAGTGATTACCAGTTAACTCAGCATTCCAGAAATTCTCCCACCAGGTTTAGTCCAAACCATCCTACCAACTTTGAATCTTTTAAAAGTGAACAGGAACTTCCAGGTGGTGATGGAAATAATTCTTCAAAGGACATAGGTAGGAGGGTTTGCATTGTTTCCTTTGCATTCATAATCTTAATGTTTTAAATTAATTTCTGAAACATTTTGAATAAATTAGATTATTCTCTGATTGATACAGGGGGAAAATTAACAGAATATGTTCTGCTTGGCTTACATTATCATTGTAGTTCAAGTGTCAAGTTATTTCAAAGGACATCTTATACTTCTGCTTCAGCATCTGCTTTTCAGCCTTGAAAATGATATCCTGGGACTTTGATAATTTTCAGTTCAAATTAGCTAGGTCATGCTTCTCTGAATTGATTCATACTAAATGTACCCTATTAACCATGAGGATTACCAATTCAGGATTTGTTTGTTTTTTGCCTATGTCAAATCAAATATTTATGTATTAAATGTTGTGTTAGGCATTGTAGGAGGATACAAAAATGATTGTATCCCTATAAAATCTGAGCTGGAAAAAATCTTTGAAGTCATTTAATGTAATGTATTTTTGAACAGAAGCCAAAACCTCCAAGAGTCTTGGGTCACCCCAGGCCCTAGAAACAGCTTGTTCTGTTTTTGAGTGGCTCTAACTTTGAGGTGCATTCTTTTTAAAAATTCAAGCCAAAGTCTAATTTACTAAAACTTTGACTTGTTGCTCATAATTTTTCCTCTGGGCCACCAAAATAAATATAAACTGTTCTTCTATATGATTATCTTGCAGATGCTTGACATCAGATTTTCATTAAATCTTTTCTCCAGATTAAACATTTATTCTAATTATGGTATGATATGATACCTATAGTGTTATGGTCTTGGCCACTCTCTTGAACGGGTTCCAGTTTCTAAATGTTCTTCCTAAAACACGATGTCCAGAACTGAATAATAAATATAGCCTTGTTAGGGCAAAGCACAGCAGGCTATAATGTTCCTCATTCTGGGTGTTGTATCACTTAAAACAGGCTAGTATTATTAGCTTTTTTGGTTGCCATATCACACTGTTGGCTCACTAAAGTTCATTAAAGTTAAGTCCACTAAAACTCTCATATCTTTTCAGACTAATTCTTACTGAGCCACAAATGACTGTATCTTGTCCTAATGCAATTGAAGTGTTTTAACCAGCCTGTAGATATAATACATATAAATTTCTAGATTTCATCTTAAGATATTTTACCTCTAGAGCTTTTTAGATTCTAATCTGGCCATCCAGTTTGTTATCTGTCACTTCCTGCATTTTATCCTCCACAAACTTTCCCATTTAAGTAGAAATATTCACAATTTTCATGGGATCTGAATGTTTATGCAGCTATATTGGCTATGCTGCTGTTCTGGCTATTCTTACCACATTCACAAATTTTGAACCATTTTATGGATATTTTTTTTAAAAGTACTTCTTTAAGTATTTCAAATGTTGGGTTGCATTAATGAAAGTTCTTGTTAGTGTTGCTGAAATGTTTTTGGGTTAATAAGGAGTTCTTTACCTGATTGGAGAAAAATATTTCTGTGATTATTGTAGCAATGATCTTTGAAGTTGCCTTTTAAACCAATAGGAAAAGAGACTGTCAACAGTATAATATCTTCTAGAGACTGTATGTGCATAGTATATATGTCGCTTCTAAATACTGAAAGGAAAAAAAAACCTTTGCTGTAATACTGTTTAACAGGTCCTAAGGATGGGCAAAAGATGACATTGTCTTTTTCCTTAAAGATTTTATAGTTAGGAAAAAATGAAAACATATATAAAACAGTCATGAGTAATAGAAGATAGTATAGAATTAAGTTTTCAATTTAGGGCAGCATTGTAATGTGGAAAGACCATGAAACCTAGTTTGGAATCCTTTTCCTATCACTTTTTTACTGTTAATTTGTGCAAATCATAATATCTAGTCCTGAATTTACTTGTCTGTAAAATGAGGGTTGGACTATTTGATCTCTGAGGGCCTTTCTAGCTCTAATATGTTCTTCTGAGAGGCAGCATGACAGTCCCATGTTTGGAGTCAAGAAAACCTAGGTTCAAATACTACCTCTCTTATACTTACTAGCTATGTGACTCTGGTGTGTATGGAGTGTTCAGGGAGTACTAGCACCTCTGGTGTGAGAGCTTGCTGAGCCCTTTCCAGGGCAGCTTATCTACCTTTGTTGTCCACCTGGCATTCAGCTTTCACCTGTGGCTCCAAGAAATTGTAGCTGCATGGCAGCCACACCACAGTGATAGGCTAAACAAGGTTGAGGATAACTGACAGGCCTCCACCCCATTTGGTGAGTTAGGAGGATGTCTACCCCAAGCAAATGAAGACTTCCCCGGACTGAATGGACTAATGAGAACAATTGATAATCCTTGTGGTTTATAGAATATGATTACTATGAATCAATTCAGAGAAGCATGACCTAGCTAATTAGAGCTGAAAATTATCAGTGTCCCGAGTTTTCAAGGCTGAAAAGCAGGTCCTGAAGCAGAAGTATATAAGGTGTCCTTTGAAATAATTTGCCATGAAGGTGGCTGAAGTAGGTGCTATGGAGCATTTACAGCTTAGGCAGACATTGAAGATGCCAAGGTCATCCGTTGCATTCTGGGCCATAAGCAGTCATCTTGACTTTTGTCTTGCCACTGAACTTTGATGACTTTGGAGGAGAGAATGAGGCTAACGATTTTGTGCAACTCTGCCTCACTTAAATCCAGTCCACGCACAAGTCAAGACATTGCCCTGTGATGTCATTGGTCCTCTTCAAAAATGAAAGATAAACATGTGACTGTGGACAAGTTATTTAACTTCTGTGTGCTCAAGCAGTTCACTAACACTTGTCTACTAAGTCGTAACTCAGTTGCCCATGCTTATGAGATATTGATTGATTGGAAGGAAGCAGATTAAGTTTGTTTCAGGAGATTCTTTGTCCAAATATCTCTGTGTGTGTGTGTGTGTGTGTGTGTGTGTACGTGTACGTACACATATGTATGTATGTGTATGTATAGGCATAATTTAGGGACATTTTTAATTTCTCTAGAGAAATTTTTTTTCAGGGAGAAGACTAAAAAATTGAGGTTATAAAATTCTGTTCTACTCTTAGGTGTTTCCTGTTTTGATGAAACATACTCTCTTAAAGCACATGTGCTTTAAGAATTCAAAATTGAATGAGATTGGTGAGGGCTGGAATAGTTAAAGCAGTGGTCTTCAAACTTTTTAATTGTGCATCCCATCAATAAAACAAATTTTGAACATATGCTCCTAATGATGTGTATATAGTGGGTATGTATTTGTCAATTCTATACTACTATTCTAATATGTTGTGTACTTTATAAAACATACACAAAAAGTAGAAAATTTTAAAAGGATGATGTTTTGGGCTGAGCCTGACTCAGATCAGTCACTTGGTAGTTTGTATGATAATGGAACAACATGAGATACTTATAGGTTATTAAACAGTGGTATAGGGCATATTTATTTCTTAAATATTTTTTTGAATCCACTTGTGAATTCACCTGTACCAGGAGAACCAGTTTTTTCCTTTGGAAGTTCCTTGTTGGCTTGCATAGTTTTTCTTGCTGAATTGGGTTCTTCTAGAGGTTTTTTGTTCCCTGCTTCTTAATTTGGAAGTTTTATATTTTCATGACCATCTATTTCATTTAAGGTATCAAGTTTGTTGCATATTATTAGGCATAGTAGAGTCTGATTATTTTATTTCCTCCCCATTAATTTTCACTTCCTGCTTATCTTTTATCTGGGTAATTTGGTTTTCCTGTATTTTGATGAAATTAGCTAGTAGGTTATAAATTTTTATTGATCTTATTAAAATGTTATCTCTTTGATTTTCAAGTTTCTAGTTTTGTACTCCTTCCCCCTGCCACCCTCCAGTTTTTCACCTTCTTCAAATCATGGTGACTGACGAAGGATTTAGAACCCAGGTCATTTGCTATTGTTTCTGAAGAAAGTTAGCACTTGGAGGCAGCTAGGTGGCACAGAGGATAGAACACTGGCCCTGGAGTCAGGAAGACCTGAGTTCAAATTTGGCCTCAGACACATAATACTCACTAGCTGTGTGACTCTAGGGAAGTCACTTAACCCCAATTGCCTAAGCCCCCCTCCCCCCTAAAAAAAAGAAAGGAAGGAAGTTAGCACTTGACTCACTGTCTTCCTTTCTTTCCCAACTCCTCTTATATTAGGACATTTTAACATCCATGTTGATGCTACCTCTAACCCTTAATTCCTTAAATCCCAAGACTTACCTTTATTATACTTCAGCCACACACAGGGACAGCCATGTCCTTGATCAGAAACTTTGATATTGCTGTCTCTGACCAAAACCTCCTGTGACTTTATTTGTAAACCTCTTCCTGTGCCCTCATCAGTACCTCTAATGTCTGCAGTCCCTCAGTACTTTCCTAGGCCTGGATTACTCCTGCTAATGTGCTAAACAGAGCAATCATTTTATACCTCCTAATTGATTTCCTGCCTCACTCTCCATAGAAGTTATTCCAAACACATTTTTCTTTATTCAAGTTTCACATTTCCCCCTCTTCCTTTTCACTTGATTCTTTCTTTCTTAGTAAATTGAGATGTTCCCTATGAGGCCCTCCTTTTTTTTCCCTCTTTTTAATTTATTAGTTTTGTTCATGTCTGAAAGAGTAATGCTAATGTTGCTTACAAGTCATTTCTCACTATTTACTAAGTCTTATTTTTTTCATGTTATCTTTTCCCTTAAAGTATTCAGATACTTTGACATTTCGTATGTATTTAATATCAGTTTGGTTAGATATGGTGCCTTAAGCAAATTGTAGTTTCCCTCTCTATCATTAAGTGTTTTTTTATTGTTGCTATATCAGAAATTGATTGATGTGCCTGCTTTTTTGTATTGAGCATACTAAAATTTATTACATTCCTTGTTTTTTAAGTGTACTTTTTATATTCAGCAAATTATTAGATTTCCTTATCCATTCTGCTGCCCTTTTCCATTTTGTGGTATGATTTTTTTCCCTCTATTACATCTGTTTTATTATTTTTTTATTTAAAAAATAAATCAACACTAGGTGGTGTAATGGATAGAATGCCAGACCAGGAGTCACAGAAGACTCATCTAACTAAGTTCAAATCTGGCCTCAGATACTTAGTTAGCTGAGTAACCCTGGGCAGGTCACTTTAACCCTGTTTGCCTTAGTTTCCTCATCTGTAAATGAACTAGCAAAGGAAATGACCAGCCATTCTATTATCTTTGCCCAAAAAAACCCAAATGGGGTCACAAAGAATCAGACATAATTCAACAACAACAAGAAGTTACTTGTAGTTTGTTTTACTTTAAAGGATCCAATCTCAACCACTTTTCTCCAAAAGCCATCCTTTCCCCTTATTCTGCTTTCTGTTTCTTGCTTAGCGTTGGCTTGTTTACTGTAATCAAAGGCATGCAGACAGGAGGAATTTGTCAGTGCAGAGAGGACAGACCTTACTCATTATAAAGAGTTAGGTTACACCCCAGACACAAGTGTTGAAAAAGGTAGAGCAAGATCATTTCTAGATCCTTACCTGACCACCCCCAGAACTTTTTTGTCAGTATATTTTTTAGATTTGTCTTTCTCCAGTAAGATTAAAGTTCATCCTGCTTCTTTGTTTGAATAACCTTACCCTGTGGCACTGTGATTTTGAAAAATACTCTTGTCACTTCATTTTCCTTTTACTTATGCCTCAAGGGTACTTCTCCCAGAAAACCCAAACCCAAAGCTGTTGTCTCCTTGTTCCCTCAGTGACCTTCAAACAAGCCTTGTCACTTTGCAACATGTTTGCATTAGTTTAAGGAGAATAAAAAGGAAATGATCAAAATGGAAGCAGCAAAATATTCTTACTTAAAAATTCCTCTAAATTATTAGAGATTTTCCTTGGAAGATTCATTCATTTTCAAATCTTCTAACTGCTGCCTACATCTATCCTCTTAGCTCCCAGATTATTGCTCTCATGAGAGCCTGTCTCCAAATTTCCAAATGTCTGCTAGCCATTTTCTCCCTTTAAACTCTTTAGGCAATTTCAATTGAAAGTAAACATATTTTCCCTCTAAAACCAACTTGCCCTCCCAACTTTACTATTTCTATCAAAGATATCACTGTTGGCTCTAGTCACCCTAGCCTAAAATCTTTAACTCGTGCTGATGCTTCATGTCTTTCATTCATTTGCTTTTTAAAAAACGCATTCATTGACTGCCTCCTCTGTCCACAGTAATATACAGGTAATAAGTGGGACAGAAAGGGGTTGTAATATAGGCATCAAAATAACTTGATTCCTCTATCTTCAGATTAATATTAAATTTCATGGTTCATGTTGTAATTTTACTTATCCAGGGTACTTGCCTTCAGGTGAGCAAATGGCGTGTTATGTTACCTGTTTAATATTTGATCTTTTTTCTTTAGATGACAGTTGGAAAATAAAAGGCAGAGACCCGTCTTTGGTTGTAGCTTTCATCTGTAAGGTAAATTATATTTTATTCAGAGAGACTTTTTAAGCTCTGATAACTATTAAGTGAAATTCCTACCCAAGTTCCTACTAGGTGGTAGTTGTGATGCTGATATGTTTGAGATTCACTAGTATCTAGCACATTTTTCTCTCAGTAATTTGATGAGAGAGGCTTTCAAGTAATTTAACTTAAAAGGAACACAAATGCCCTATTGAATGTTAAGAATATAAAGGTCTGTTTTACTTCATTAGATCTGTCAGTACTATATTAAAAACCTTCTGTTTAATTCTGTAAGTCTTGGTGATTTTAATCCCCACAGAATGCAGTTTTTCTGTGTAAACAGTGTTATAAGTGGTGGTTAGGTTCTGGGGATCACTGAGAATTTAAGAGCCACTTATAAAACATTTTTAAATAATCAGCATTATTACTTCCCTGACTTTTCAAAAAATTATAATTTATTTAATTTTTTTTTCTTTTTAAGTTTTGAGTTCCTCCTCTGCCTCCCTCCCATCCCTTCCCCACCCACTCAGAAGGCAAACCATATGATATAGTTATACATGTGAAATCATGTAAAATATAATTCCATATTTGCCATATCCCAAAAAAAGCAAAAAAGAAAGTGAGAAAAATATACTTCAGTTTGCACTCCGAGTTTATTAATTCTCTAGAGGTTGAAAGCATTTTTTCATCATAAGTCTTTTGGAATTGGCTTGGATCGTTATATTGATCAGGGTAGCCAAGTCTTTCACAGTTGATCATTACAGCAGTGCTATTACTGTGCACAGTGATCTCTGGGTTCTTCTCATTTCATTTTGTATCAGTTCATAAAGTTCTTACGATGTTTTTTCTGAAACCACCCTCCTTGTCAATTCTTAGAACACAAGAGTACTTCATCACAATCATATACCACAACTTGTTCAGCCATTCCCCAATTGATAAGTTCTTTATCACCACTAAAAGAACTGCTATAAATGTTTTTGTACATGTAGGACCTTTTCCCTATTTTTTATATCTCTTTGGGATTCAGACCTAGTTAAGTGGTTATTGCTGGGTCAGAGGGTACGCACAGTTTTATACCCCTTTGCAAATAGTTCCATATTGTTCCCCAGGATGGTTGGAGTAGTTCACAACTTGTGTACCTGTTTTCCCTCATCCCCTCCAGCATTTCTGATAGGTATGAGGTGGTACCTCAGAATTGTTTTGTCTTTCTCTAATCAGTCTTGATTTAGAACATTTTTTCTTGTGACTACAGATAGATAGCTTTGATTTCTTTTGAAACTGCCTTTTCATATCCTTTGACCATTTATCAATTGGGGAATGGCTCTTATTTTTATAAATTTGACTCAGTTCTCTTTTGAGAAATGAGGCCTTAATCAGAAAACTTGCTGTAAAATTTTTTGATAATTGCTTCATTGTCTGTGGTGGTTGTGGCTGTTGTTCAGTTGCGTCCAACTTTTCATGACCCATGGACCATACTTGCCAGAACTTTCTATCCTCCACTATCTCTGGAAGTTTGTCCAAGTTTATATTTCTGGTTTCCATCATGCTATCTATCCATTTCATTCTCTGCTATCCCCTTTTCCTTTTTGCCTTCAATCTTTCCTAGCTTCAGAGTCTTTTCCACTGAGTCCTGTCTTCTCATTATGTAGACAAAGTATTTAAACTTCAGCTTTAGTATTTGACCTTCCAGTGGATAGCCTGAATTAATTTCTTTAAGTATTTACAGATTTGATCTCCTGCTGTCCAAGGGACTCTCAAAAGTCTTCTCCAGCACCACAATTTGAAAATGTCGATTTTGTGGTGCTCAGCTTTCCTTATAGTCTTAACTATTCTATTAACTTTCCTTATAGTCTTAACTCTGACAGCCACACGTTTTGACTGGAAGTGCCATAGCTTTGAATATAAGGACCTTTGTCAGCAAGGTGCTTTTTAGTATACTGTCCAAATTTGGTATAGCTTTCCTTCCAAGGAGCAAGTATTTTTTAATTTCATGGCTGCAGTCACCATCTTCAATGATCTTTGAGCCCAAGAATATAAAATCTAACACAGTTTCCATTTCTTCTCTCTCTATTTGCCAGGAAGTGATGGAGCCTGTTGCCAAGATCTTTGTTTTTTTGATGTGAAACTTCAAGCAGGCTTTTGCACTCTTCATCAAAGGTTTCTTAATTCCTTTTCACTTTCTGTTCTCAGAGTGGTACCATCTGCACATATGAGATTGTTGATAGTACTTTTTAGCGAGCTGTACTTTCCTTGATTATCACTCTTAATTGGGGCTATTTTTGCTTTGTTTTTGTCTGAGATCATGATTGCTACCCCTGCTTTTTTACTTCTGCTAAAGCATAATAGATTCTCTTGTATCTCATTATTTTAACTGAGTGTATGTTTCAAGCATGTCTCTTGGAAACAACATATTGTTGGATTCTGGTTTCTAATCCATTTTCTCATCTGCTTCTGTTTTATGGATAAGCTCATCCCATTCACAATTATGATTACTATGTATTTCTGTACATTCTGTTTTCTTCTGTTTGTACTTTTTTTATCCTGTCTCTCCTGAAAAGTCTGTTTTGCTTCTGTCTCTCTTAATCCACCCTCCCTTTTATCATTCTCTCCCCATCCCCACCCCACCCCAGTATCTCTTATTCCTTTCCCTTCCTAGTTCCCTATTATGTAAGATAGATTTCTACCACTCTGTGTGTGTGTGTGTGTGTGTGTGTGTGTGTGTGTTTCTTCTTTCTTTGAACCAAATCTAATGAGAGTGAGGTCCTTACATGTCCTGCTACCTTCCCTCCCAGTTTCCTCTCCACTATATAAAAGCTCTTCCTTGCACACCTCTTTTATGTGAGAAAATTTTCCCCATTCTACCTCTTCCTTCCCACCTTCCCCGAGTGCATCCCTCCTTCTCATCCCTTCATTTTTTTTTCATTTTTGTGCTGTTGTTTTCAGAGCTAGTTCTGGGATCTGCACATTTTTGGTTCTTCCAAGGTGATGGTATGCTGGGAGAAGTTTGGTCACTGCTCTCCTGGTCTTCGCTCTGGTCTTTACCAGAAGGGCCTCTGTTCCCCTTCAGCTGCAACTACTAGTGCTCCTCTTGACACTGGAACTGTGACCAGGGTCCCTGCTCCCTTGTGACTGATCACAGGTGACCTCTCCTTCCTAGAACTGTAACTCAGAACTGCTTATGGGCAGTAGAGTTGTGATCAATGCCAGCTGCATCCATTACCAACAGAGGGGTCCCTTGTAATCTTTGGCCAGTTTTCTAATCCCTGTATCATTATCTGTGGGCCAAGAGCTTCCAAAGCTGCTACATCAGTTGCTGTTGTCGTGGCTGCCTTTAAGGCCTACCATTCATTCTCCTGGTGCCCTCTGGGCCTGGGCCCACTCCACTGTTACCTCTCCTGCACACCTTTTAATTTGTCTTAGTCTGGAAAAATGTCTTCCTCTGTCCTTTTGTTGGCTTTGCCGCTCTAAAATTTGATTTAAGGCCTTATTTTAAAATTATTTAGAATTCAGCTGAGTCCCAGCTTGTACTTTACCCCATTTGAGAAAGAAAAACAACGCCTATTTCAACTGTGTATGGTCAACCAAAACAAATTTGCAAATTTCCTCATTGGTTATGCCCTATGCCGCCTTCCTTCCCTGCCCCACTCCCCCAATTGTTGCATTCTGAGTCCTTTCCTTCAGTCAGGAGATGAATAGCATATTTGTCATGAGTCTTCAGGAGTCATGGCTGGTCATTAGACTGATTAAAGTTATTTGTTTTTAAATGTTATTGTCATAAATTATTCTCCTGATTCTGCTCACTTCACTGCATCAGTTCATATAAGTTTCTTTGAAACTGTCTCCTCGTCATTTCTTATAACACAAGAATATTCCATCAGATTCATATAACATTCCCTAATTTATGGGCACCCTCTGTTTCCAATTCTTTGCTACCTCAAAAAGAGCTATAAATATTTTTGTATATCCTTATGTAGAGTTTGTTTTGGTTAGGACAAATCCCTCCCTGAATCTACATTTCCTTTTGTCCTCTCTTCTCTACTTTTCCTTCTGTTTCCCTGTTGAGTGAAATGCATTTCTGTACCCAACTTTGTGTGCTCGCGCGTGCGCACACTCATGCTGGCCCATGTGTGCTCTCTTTTAACCAATTCACCTGAGAGTGAAGTTCAAGTGTCAGCTGCTCCACCCATCTTTTCCTCTTTGTATACTCTTCTACTTGTGTACCCCAATTATGTAAGATAAGTTGCCCTTTCCTTTCCATCTCTCCCTTTAGTATATTCCTATTTTCCCTTGCATTTAAATTCTTCTTTTAAGTTCAACAAATCTTAATAGAACAACTCCCAGATCTTTTTTTCAATTAGTTTCTGACTTCTGATAATTAATAGGACATCACATATATCATCTCCCTATAATTATGTATGTATATATATAATATATAGATATATCTGTATATCTCCCCATAGTATATATCACATATATCAGCTCCCCATATTAGAATGTAAACAGTATATACTTGTTTAGTTCCTTATGATTGATTGTTCATTCATGTTTCTTGTTATGCTTTTCTTGACTCCTTTGTATTTCAAATGTTTTACTAGCTCTGGTCTTCAGCAAGATTGCTTTGAAGTCCTATATTTCTTTAAAGGTTCATTTTTCCCTGGTAGGATTATACTCAGTTTTGTTGGTTAAATTATTCTTAGTTGTAAGTTTTGCCTTCTGGAATATCGTGTTCCAAGCTTTATGCTAATTGTGTTGATCCTAACTGTGGCTCTTGGGTACTTAGTACTATAGTATTTTTTGGGGGGCTATAATGTTCCTGGGAGTTTTCATTTTGAGGTTTTTTCTTTGGCTCTAAGAGATCTGAGCATTTTCTTTTATGCTTTCTTGAAGTATGATGTCTATTCTCCCTTTTTTTTCATGTCTTTCAGGTAATTCTAATAATTCTTAAGTTATTTCTCCTTGATCTGTTTTCCAGTTTAGCTGTGGGATACCTCACATTTTCTTTTATCCCCCCAGTCCTTTGACCATATTTTAATATTTCTTGTCTTATGAATTCATTAGTTTCTTTTTGGTCTATTCTGATTTTCAGGGAACTTTTTGCTTGAGCAACAAACCAGATGTGTAAAAGTTTTGTGCCAAGCTTTTAATTCCCTTTCTTATTTTTTTCCTTCTCTGGCTATCTTTTCCATTTTTTTCTTTAGCATCCTGATTTCTTCTATAAAAATATTTTTGACTTTGTGTTAACACTTCATCTCTTCCAGGAATTCTGGTTGAGTTTTGACCATGCTTTCTTTTTCTTTGAGATTTTGCTTGTAGATGTTTTGATTGTATTATCTTCTGAGTTTGTGTCTTGAAAGTTTGTCACTGTAACAGCTTTTTATGTTGGGATTTTTCTTTTTCTTTCTTTTTTTTTTCTTTTTTTTGCTCACTTATCCTACTGCCTTCCTGACTTTGGACTTTATGTTAGAGCCAGGTTCTGAGTACTTATGGAGGGAAGGTCTGGACTGCTCCTGTTGCTGCTTTCTTGGATATTGAGTGTTATATTATTCCAGGATCTCACAAACACCTCAGACTGGGAAACTGCAAGCCTTCAGTGTTCCCAGAGTAGTCTGATGTAGGGTAAAGTTTGGTCACTCCCCTTCTCCCACCTCTGGTCTGAGCACTGTAGGATCCTGACCTGGGTTTGATTCTGAGTGACAGGACTGTGGGCCTGCTCCATTTGGAGTTTTAATAGATTGCTTTGGCCTTAGACTCTGTTAGTCAGCTAGAAAGCCCTTCTCCTGATTCAGAATAGCAGAACTATAAGTTTACCCTTAGTTTGGAATTCCATCCCTGGTTACTCCTCTGCAGGATTGAGAGTGGGTTATAAGGTGAACACTGAGTCTCCACTCTCATTCTGGGATCTGAGCTTCAGAGCTTCTGCCTAATTTCTAAACCATAACATTTGTTCAGTACATAGCCTGGGCTCCATGATTGTTTCTCACTCTTGAATGCCAGCCTATAGGTTCCCCTCCTCAATTTAGCCTGGCTCTATGACCCCAGAACTGGGTAATAAGGGACAGAGTTGCCCAGTTGGCAGCTCTTATCATAAGGTTAAGCTCTTTTGTGCTGTATCTGAGACCTTTTCTTGCATTGATCCACCTTTCCCTACACTGGAATGCTCCACATGGTATACTCCTGGACAGACTCTGTCCGCGTTGTCTATAGATTTGTCTGTTCTTTCTCTCTCTGTGTTGACATGGACTGGAAAAATGACTGTTTCGTTTTTCCTCCTTGGAATTCCTAATCAGTTTATGGTCTGATATGTTTTCTAGATTTGTTTAGATTATTTCCTGGGGGCAGAGGGAGGGAGTTGGGGAGGGATGAGGAATGGGTTTTGAAGTTTGCTATACTTCCTCTTGCTACTCTCAGGCTATATTTAGTGACTTTAAAATTGAAACTTATTTCTCTGAATTAAAAATAATGTGTATTATATGGCAAGAATGGGATTGTCTCTAACATAATTGATTAAAAGCAACTCTTCCCTGGTTTCTCATTTTTCATATTCACCTTCTATTTGCAGCTTCACATGAAACAAGGAAGTTTTTTGGTGTTCAAAGCAAAAGATCTGGGGCTTCCAGTGTAAGTAGAGGCAGAGTAGATGATATAGGGAACATACACTGGGTATTTGCTTACAGAACTAACTAGATCTGACATGAAAATTTTGTTTTTTACTTTTAGTGGTACATCTGCTATTGCACCTATAATTGCTGCTGTCAAGGCTGGGAAAAGTATCACTTATGAAGGAAGAGAGGTGAGACTGGGATTTTATGAGCTCAGGGCAGTTGGCAGAGTTTAGAACTAAGGCATAGAATTTTAGTCCTGGCTCTAGGCAAGGACCTTATGATCATGTCAAAACAGTTTGCATTTTTTTCCGCTCAGCACTGTGACATAAAAGGATATATAATCCATGTTTTTCTTACTGATCACCAATTTTCGACCATTTTGATTAGTATAATACTATCTGGTGTCATATTAAGTTTATTAACTTTGTTAACATATTGGTTGAATTATTTTTACCCTCTAAATTTTAGTGTAGCTGAATAGCAGTTGTAATCAGGTAAATATCCAGTCATCTCCTCCACAAGTACTTCTAGATCCATACTCTATGGTGGAGTTCTCCAGATAAGTGGGATTTGCTGCAGGTATTCCTAGGGCTAGGTATATAAAGGTGTAGGTATATAAACCTGGCCTGATAGGTCAGGTATATATTGACTCCAAGGAAGTGCAGCCTCCTGGGCCCCGCCCCTCTAAACTCCAAACTTTTCAAATATAGAATTATTAAGGATTAAGTTATTAGATGGGTAGAAAAGATTTACAAACTTAACAGAGAAGAAACATATATAGATTTAGATATAGATATCATGAAAAATCACCTCTTTATTCTATAACTAATGATATATATTGATTTATGTGTGTGTGTGTGTGTGTGTGTGTGTGTGTGTGTGTGTGTGTGTGTGTTCTTGTGTAACTCAGCCTAAAGTATCTGCAAACTCTACATCTAAGATGTTGGACAAGAATATTTTTAGTGTCATGGAAGCTGAGTTGAAGACTTTTGATTGTTGGCTTTCCGGGGTTATATATGAGTCCTTGTGTATCCTTCAGATATTTTCAAACCAAATGCCCCTTGTTGTTATTGTTTCACTGTTTATATTTTTTACTGTATTTTATAGATTTTGCCAGAAGAGATTTGCAGCCCTCCAGATCCTGGCTCTGTTTTTATTGTGGTGGAATGTCCTGACCAAGGATTTGTAGAGCCAATCTGTGAAAATGACACCTTCCGCAGGTATAGAAATCTCTGGTCTTAGCTGAGTGAGAAACTACATTGGGTTAACACAGTACCAAATACAATTTTTTTTTTACCTCGCCTATGATATCTTCAATTTCCTGGCAAGGAAATTACGTTTTCCATGGAGATCAAACAACTGTTCTGTGGCTTGTGGCTTTCAGAGAGTTCAGGGGTACTGAGGGATTAAGAAGCTAGTCAACTTGTCAGAGGCAGTACTTGAACCTGGGCTTCTGACTTCAAGGGCCTCTCTCTATCTACCATGCCCTGCTGCATCACAAATTAATCCCTTTTAAAGGATCAATCAAGATAGAAGTGATTGTCTTTATTTCAGGGGATCCAATATCCAAAATAATTTTTTAAAAATTGTAGTTTTGTAGACTATTTTTTACTGCATCTACAAGGGAACATTTTCAGATACCCATTGAAAAACCAAGATTAAAAAGTCTGCTATTAGGATTAGACAGGTAGTAGTCATCTTTAACTGAGATTGTATGTTATGTATTTAAAATAGTAATAGAAAACCAGAGAGTCTTATTTCCTGCAATAGACTAGAAATTCTAAAGCTGACTGTGGTGCAGACTTTTTTTTTTTAAGGCAATTGGGGTTAAGTGACTTGCCAGGGTCACACATCTAGTAAGTGTCAAGTGTTTGGTCTGAGGCTGGATTTGGACTCAGGTCCTCCTGACTTCAGGGCCGGTGCTGCATCTACTAGTGCAGACATTTTAAAACAACCATTAGATCCTTTTTTGATTTGTTATTGATTGTCCCCTATGTTTACTATCTTATGGTTGCCTATCTGGAAACTCAAGGAACTAATTTAGCTTGTGTTGGCCTGATAGAAGCATGGTGTTTAGGTGATTTATAGATCTTCTATAATAGGATAAGATTGCTATCATCTGAACTGGTTTCTTAAACAGATTATCTAATTATTACTTACTAGATTATTACTAGACTTGTTCTTGTTGAAAAGCAGGGCACAAATAGAGTTTCAGTTCTACCCTCTACCTTTTTTGTATTTTGGGTAGTGAGAAAGAAGAATGCTTATAGCATTGACTTGTTCTTTCTTGGACCCATTTTATGGATTTACTCACCAATACATCATTCAAGGTCAGGGATTTACTTGAGATAAACTCCTTGAAAACCATAAAATTGAAAAACTTAGGAAACAGTATGATGGATGCAGAAGAGAACTTTATGTAGGAGACAGCATTCCTTTTAGGGAAACTCCCTGGGTTTTACTTGGCATTTCTGTTGAGCATATTTAGATGCTCGGTAACAGAAATCTCTGCTGGGTGGTAGGTAGCAAAATTGACTCAAGTTAGCTAGTCCATAGAGAAATTTGATTTTCTCCAATCCCAGTTTAGTGCCACATGTACTTGTTATGCTCTTTTCATTAAGTTATTATTAATTTCAGGTATCAAGGGGAAAAGGCCGAGGCTCATGTGGCTGTGGTTGTTCACATGACTCCAGAATCAATATTGCAGGATAACAGATACCAGCAGTGGATGGCAAGGTATGTGACAAGACACAGCAAAGTAGCTTTTGTGTGCTGAGACTCATAGACTATCAGAACTGAAACACATGAGTTATCTGATCTAAGCAGCTGATTTTTCAGATCTGGAAACAGGCCTAGAGAAATTAATACTGTAGTAACATATAGAGAGATATGTGTATTTCTATGTTTCTAGATTGATATCTATCTATCTGTCTGTCTATCTGTCTGTCTATTATCTATCTATCTACCTACCTATGTGTTTGTGGGCCTTTCCCTGCAACAAGTCTGAAGGGGCAGGTAGTCACACACACACACACACACACACACACACACACACACACACACACACACACACGAATTTGCTCATGGAGGGCTGGACATGGACACAGATAGGACAGATTGTCCAACCTGAGGGGGTAGGGGACAGATGTGTTATCTGAGTGAAATTGGGGAAAAGACAGGCTCAGGTTAGGTAGAGTGGGGAAAAGGTCTCTTCTTTCATCAGTGGAGGTCTCAAGCCAAACTCCCAGTCTGGCCATGGAGGTGGTCTTTCTGGGCTTCCATTGTTTTGCTTTAACTTGGAGATTTAGGGTTTGTTTGTTTTTTTTTAGGGTTTTGGGTTTGGTGTTTTTTTGTTTGTTTGTTTGCTTGGGTTTTTTTTGTTTGTTTGTTTTTTGGTTTGGGGGAAGGTGGGAAGCAATAGAGCCACTAAGCCAAGGGGCAGGAGTGAAGAGAGAGCACAGTACTTATTTTGGAGTAAAGTTAACGTAGATGCTTTTTTTTGAATGTGGATTTCTTTCAGAATTCTTTTATATAAAGTTGAATTTGTGTAATGCAAATTTATGCAAAAGCAAACTGTTTCTGTGTATATACACAGATATGTGTGGGGGTATACATGTATGTATATATGTACATCTTTTATAGATTTTGTTTTTAATTTTTAATATCTTCATTTCCTAATATATGCTTTTCTCCTCCCTCTACCCTTTGAACTATCCCTTGTAACAAAGAATGAGGGAAAAAAGCACTTCAGCAAAATTAATCATCAGTTGATTCTGACACCATATGCAGTGTTCTACAAACATTGTTCCTCATCTCTGCAAAACTGTATTTAAACAGCACTTGGTTTTATTTATCAGTTCATATAAATCTTCCCCTCTTCAGGGTAACATTTGAAATGTTTCATTTTGTAGAAATCTATTTAAAATTATTTAACTATTCTCTGCATAGAGAAAACTCCACTAAATGATCCTCCTTGTTGTGGCAGGGTGGTAAACCTGGATTCTGTAGTTGTATCAGCTGAGTTCAATCTAGCAGGTTTTCCTAAGCTGTATAGCCTTTGCCTATATATAGCTATGTTGGGAGAGACTCATTTTCAGGCTAGCCATAAGATGATGATTTTTTTTAAATCTAAAATAACCTTTGAAGAATGGCTACTAAGTAATAGCTGAGTGGTAATCTATTTAAGTATAAGTAGTATATGTACATCAAGGGAATCACGAATATTTCAAGTTATAAATACAGTTAAATCCCTCTTCTCATAAACTCAGAATTTGAAGAGACCGCAGAGGTATCCAGTTTCAAAGACACAGAATTTAGAGTAGGGAGAGACTTCAGCAGCCATCTAGGTTGATGATACACATAGGAAATCCCCACTGTAACATATCCAACAAGTCTCCTGCCTCTGCTTGAAAACCTCCAGAAGAGTCAGAATCCTCCAGCTCTTTTTGAACAGCTGAAATTGTTAAGAAGTTTTTTCCCTGACATTAACCCTTAATTTGCCTTTTTGCGTCTTGGCTCTGTGATTCTTGCTTCTGCCCTTTGGGGGCAAACAAAAAAAGTCCAATCTTTCTTCTGCATAATAAACCTTCAGATACTTGAAGACAGCCCTCATGTCTTCCCAAATCTTCTCTTCTTCGACTAAATACACTTAATTCTTTCAAATACTCATGTGAAGTGGACTCAAGGGCATTCATTATTCTGATTGCTCTCCTCTGGATGCTCTTCAGCTTATTCTCTCCTTAAATCATTGTCCTTGGAATTGAACACAATAAGTCAGATGAAGTTTGCTGAAGGCAAACAATACAATGAGATGATCACCTCAAATTACATTAGCTTTTTGGCTGCCAGTTACAGTGCTAATTTGTATTGAGCTTTTAGTCAACTAAAACCTCTAGATCTTTCTCAGAACAAATGCTGTTTCCTTCATCATACAGTTGTGAATTTTTTTTAACGTGAAAGATTTTACTTTTATCCCTTTACCTTATTAGATTTATCCCAGTTTCTCTAGCCTAAGATCTTTGTGTATCCTGAATTTTATCCATTGTGTGAACTATACTGTCAGCATTGTGTCATCTGCAAATTTGATGAGCACACTAAATCATTGTTAAGCATAACACAATCAATACAGGGCCAAGCATGGATCCCTGGGGTACTTCACTAGAGAGATCCTATCTTGTTGATATTGTCAAACCATTTCTGATCAGTTGTGAGGTGCTGTTTTAATTTTTTAATTTGCATTTCTCTAATCTGTAGTAATTTAGAGCATTTTTTAATACGACTATAGATAGCTTTCATTTCTTCTGAAAACTGTCTCTTCCTATCCTTTGACCATTTATCAGTTGTGAAATGGCTCTTATTTGTAAATATTTGAGAAAAGAAACCTTTATTAGACAGACTTATATAAACATTTTAACATTAATCAGAGTTGTTTTGATTTGCATTTCTCTAATCAATAGTGATTTAGAGCATGTTTTCATATGATTATAGATGGCTTTAATTTCTTCATCTGAGAACTGCCTGTTCATATCCTTTGACCATTTATCAGTTGGGGAATGACTTGCACTCTTATAAATTTGACTTAATTCTCCATGTATTTTAGAAATGAGGCCCTTATCAGAAAGACTGGTTGTAAAAATTCTTTCCCAATTTTCTACCTTCAAGAAGGATATTTCTAAAGGAGATAGTCATATCCTAAGAGCTGAGCAAGACAGACACAGGAAGGGAGATGCTTAGAAGGATGATTTCTGAGCCAACAGACCAAGACCTTTTGTTGGTTTCAGGCCTTCTTTGCCAAGACCTCAAGTATAAATAGTTCTAATAATTATGGAGAAATCAACTGCTGTTTTATATTGAATCTGTGAAAAAATATTTTGTAACTTAAAATAATTTTCAGTTGGAAAAAAATGGGAAAATTACTACCTTTTTACTGTTATATGTTTATATGTTTATTGTTTATATGTAAAACCCTTAATCAATTTTGAGAACTTATTACTAAAATATATTCAAAGCCTGAATTTTCCATGCTAGATACATTTGGAAGCCAGTCCATATCTACATGTAAATACATAAATAAATGTATACATGCACATATGTATATAGTTCTTAGAGAGAACAGTCTAATCTTACTGCTTTCTCTTTTACATTACATCTTTGTCTTAATACTTCATCTAATTTTCCCTGTAGGAGGAGATCATCCCTATATTATAATTTGGCCACAAATACAGATTAAGATTGTAAAATTATTCATACTTGCATCTTATTTTAGTAACTTGAAGATGTTCCAGTATCATGCTACTAATTAATAGATTTTGTATTATACTTAACAAAACTTCTACTGTTTACCCACCCTGATTATAGAAACTTGCTATGAAAGGAAAAGGAGGGACATAATTGTAACAGTGTCAAGCCTTGTCCCCTCCCAGGCACAGCCTGATATGCGTATGCCATAACAAGGGAAAACTCCCTTAACTCTGTTTGATTCCAGGCATGAATCATATCCGACAACCATGTAATCGGAGGGTATCAGAAGCTAAGGATCAGGATTAACTAGGTTGGGAAATTTCCTATTCAGAAAGGAAATAGCACAGTGAGGAAACTGAGTCAAGAGGATTCTACATTAGGCCATGCCAATGTCATCCCCTTAACTTTTCCTAGGGACAGACATCTACCTATAGCAGTTCTTAGACTACAGCACATGCCATTTTCTACTGTTGGCTTCATGACAATTTAGACAACCATCCCTATAATCAAAACTTAAAGCAGTAGTAAATTATAGTCTCAGGAGTTTCAGATAGCAACATTTTACTAACTAAAACTTAGGGCTTAAAATACTATTAATTTCTCATGTTTCCCTAACAGTTACATTTCATTTATCCTTTACTTATAAATTAAAACTAACATCATTCTGGGGTTTCAGACATAACAGCAAATACCTGATAGTTGATTCATTGATGTATTGAAGTTATATTTTTAAACTACCCTATACATTTTCATAATTTTTATAAATGATAACCAAAAATTTTCTAAAAGAAAACTCACTCTTTATAGTAAACTTATTATTATTGTTATGTGTTTTAAAACAAAATATACCTTGTTAAATATTTAAGTTTTCAGGTCAGCTAGGTAGTGCAATGGATAGAGCACCAGCCCTGGAGTCAGGAGGACCTAAATTCAAATCTGGCCTCAGACACTTGACACTTGGTAGCTATATGACCCAGGCCAAGTCACTTAACACCCCAATTGCCTAGCCAAAAAAAAATAAATATATCACATTTTTAAAAAAATTCAGTTATAATCTAACAGCATCCAGATTTTTTAAAAGTTGTTTTTCTAGCAGCATTTCTGATAAAATGATTTCTCAAATTTCACAATATAAAAGAATTTCAAAATGCAACCATAACTACAATATATCATGTATTTAAAACATGGGACAAAACTTATTACCAGTCATATTATGTCAATTCAGCCAAATGCATTTCCAGATTGTCTTACTTAGAAAATCTTTAATCATATTATCCTTGGCCTTTCATACTTATCACATTTAAAACCCAGTGTGCAATTCAAGAAAAAAAAATAACAGTTAACATTTATGTAGTGCTTTTGTTGTTCAGTCATTTCAGTTGTGTCCAACTATGATGTCATTTGGGGTTTTCTTGGCAAAAGTATTGGAATAATTAGCCATTTCCTTTTTCACCTCATTTTGCAGATGACGAAACTGAGTCAGACAGGATTAAGTGACTTGCCCAGGATCACACAGCTAGTCTGAGGCTAGATTTGAGTTCTTTTCCTACTTACCGATTTAGGCTTGGTGTAAGGAAAAGCTTGCACCTTACTCCTGTTCTCTCACTCCTTGTCTTCATTCTCTTCTTTCTCTTCCTAAAAATTAGAACTGAATATAGGTTCTCATTTGTCAGAGAAAAATTTTAGATAACCAGTTGGGGATGTTGGAAAAGAGGTCCTGTTTACGTGCAGGCTGGACTAGACTGACTCTGAAGTCCCTTCTGACTTTGAGATTCTGTGATTCATCTAATTTCTAACCTTCCTTCAAGTCTTCCTTCTTCCATGAAATCTTGCCTTTGGTTCACTCTTGAACAGTGGTAAAAGTTACTCTTTTTTACCACTTAATTTGGCATTTGGGTGTGTGTGGCCTGTCTCCCTATAGAAATCCCTTGAGGGAACCCTGTCCCCCATCCTACAGTGCCAACTCTTATGCCAGTGCCTTGCACCACAATAGGATATTGATATATATTTGGTTTATGGTGTCTATTAATTTTAGAAACATGCTGCTGACTTCTGACATTTCAGACTTCTTTTGAATTCAAAATACCATGAATGCTTTGAGTCAGAAATTATTAAAATTAATGGTGAAATTGAACCAAGAGTCACTAAAGGCACCTAGTGCCTTGGACTCCTATTTCACTGTCCTTTAACTCTTTACCTGTTATTCTCCTGTTTCCTTTTTTTGTTTTTATTCTACCCTGTTCCCTCTGATCTCATCTTCCTCCTCTTATTTCCCTTCCTGAACATACTCTTTTACTCTCTGCTCTGTTTTCTTTTCTCTTCTTATATCTTTCCTTCATACTCTGGGGTTCCTATTTCATTTTGATTCCATCTCCCAATGAGGTTACCCTTAATTACATCTTCATTTTCTTCTCCAGGTTTGGCCCTGAAACTCAGCATCTGGTCCTGAATGAGAATTGTACTTCGGTACACAATCTCCGTAGCCTTAAGATTCAAACTCAGCTCAACCTCATTGACTCAGACATATTTCCCCAGCTTACCAACTATACTTGCAAGGTAGAATATCTATGATTATTCTCTGTCAATTGATCTTCTAGGGATTTTCTTCTTATTATTCTATTTCTTTATCTTTTTCAGGAGGATCTGGCTACTTTCTCCCTGCCTGTAATCCGTGGTGAATGCCTCCTGAAGTACCAGCTAAGACCGAAACTACATTGGCAGAGGTATGTGATTCTGGGATCCTCATACTGCCGAACTTTGAGTGGAGAGGTTGAGGCCATTGTGCATTCTTGAATCTTTGAATCCTGTTATTTGAAATTCTGCATAATAGTTTTGTCTTTATTAGAATAGTTTCTCTTTTTACACTTTCCTCTTCTTGGGGTGTTTTAAGAGTACAGACAAATGATTTTACCTTAAACTATCTTAGCATACATGCTTCTTGGGTAATTAAGAGACGGCTGAGTAGTTAGATTTTTCCATTGATGGTGATAGCTTTGTGGAGTGGTTCACTGTCTTTGAAATTATTGAAATTAATTTAAGTTGACAGACACTAAGGCAGTCTGATTTGTTCCTCTTAGTATCCTAAACCTGAAAGTTCCACAGAGCTTAAACAGTAGAAGAATCTTGTCATCATAACCCTTACAGATTTAGTAAAGGTAACTTCTGCTACAGATAAGACATATATTGGTGCCACACCCACTGAAGGTGGGAGTAGGAACTAACTAGATGTATGAATTGATTAGTATAGGGAGGAAAATCTTTCTGCCAATTCAGGTTGGCACTGTCTTTACAATTTATCATCTTAGAGATAACTTAGAGATAACTGAGCAACTCAACTCAACTCTAACATTCATTCAGCTTAGTGCTCAGAGGTTGTGACTTGCCCAGGTCATACAGCCAGTATGTATCAGAGGCAGGATTTTTGTACAAGTCCTACATACTTTAAGACCAGGTCTCTATCTACTTCTTCCTACTGCCTCTGCAACTGAAACTAATAAACTGAAATTGAGAATGTAAATTCCTGTACTTTAGTTCAATTTGTCAGTCTCACAAATATAAAACGTTGGAAGCTTTTTCTACAGGATGAAAAAAAATATGGAGACTTATAATACAATAAGAGAGGCAAGGTGTTCAGGAGGTCTTAGTCCCATTATACTCTGATCTTGTTTAGACTTTACCCTGTTATGTTTAGTTCCAGATGACTCATTGTAGAAATGATGTTAACATACTGCAGAATGTTCAGAGGAAGGTGAACATTGTTTAGACTTTACCTTGTTGTGTTTAGTTCTAGGTGACTCATTGTAGAAATGATGTTAACATACTGCAGAATGTTCAGAGGAAGGTGAACATGTGGGGGACAACACTTGAAACAATACTCTATTGTTGAAGAGACTGGGGGATATTTAGCCAAGATAAGAGAAGACTTAGTGAAGGACATGATGGTTGTCTCCAGGGAATGCAAAGAACACTGGGTTTGCAGTGAGGACCTAGATTCAAAACTAAGCTCAGCACTTAAAATCTCTATCACCTTGGGCAAATCCTTTTAACTCTCTGGGCCTTAGTTTCTCAGTTTTGGACTAGAGGATCTCTTCAGTATTTTCTAACTTTAAATTCTATAATCCAATGATGAATATTTGAAGAACTGTTATGTAGAAGAAGGGATTTTAATTGGCCCCAGAGGGACAGAACTAGGAATGAAGGTTAAAAGTTGAGGAGAGACATATTTCTGTTTGACATAAGGAAAAATTTCCTAATAATTATAACTCTCCAAAAATGGAGATTTCCCCTTTACTAGAGGTCTTGAAGAGATGACTGAATAATCCTTTTTTAGGGTTTGATATAGAAGTGATTTGTATCCATATAGGGTTTGGAGTTGATGGCCTGTGGTCCCTTTCAACTCTGAAATTCTCTGACAGAGTACATTGCTTAGCCCTATTCACAACACTGAAGCAGAAGAGCATTTTCATTTACTTTGCTATATCAAATTAAATAGGCTTACTTGGCTAAAGCCCTGGAAGATTTGGGGAATGTTAGAAGTAGCTTTGAGGGTTCAGAGCTCTAAAGGGAGTTGTTTACCTTTTTCTGTTAGATGAGAGATGCCCCAAAGAATAACATAAAGAGATTATTTCTTAGCTGTGGTAATTTGGTCAAACTCCAGGTTAGAGTTTTCTGGAAATTGTTGTCAAGCCAGTCTTTCCAGACATCAGAATTGTTATTACCAGCCAGGCCCCCCTATCCCCCATTAATTGTGATTTTTTTTTCCTCCTCCAGGGATGCCTGCATCATTTACAACCTTGATGAATTTGTGACTGAGGCTCTGGACTTACCTAATTTTCAGGAAAGGGTACAGGAGTATAAGGAAAACATGCTGGACAATACGGCACTATTAGGTGAGTGGAAACTTCCATCTATGTTCTGGCAGAGTCTTTACGGAGTAAAGATTTTGTTGGTACAAGAGATTTATCTTTTCTGCCATTTTTATTGTACAGATTTGAAAACAGACTTAAAGAAGGGAGGTTCTATGTCATAGATCAGTTTTAGTGGCAGATCTGGTAATGAAACCTAGGTTCCTGATTCTTTTTCCAAAACTTTAAAAAAAAAAAGACTATGTCTCCTCATCTTGCCTTGGCAGATATTAAGGCTACAATAGTTTATTACGTGTTGTTTTTTTTAATAGTTGGATATATATTTTTTTCTACTTTTTTGAAATGTTTGGGCTCCTAGTTATTGTCAGTTCATGATTTTCTTGCAACAACTACAAAACCCTTTATAAAATTCTTTCTATTTGTGTTTTGGGAAAATTTTTTTAAAAATAGTCATAACCTAAATAGTTTTGTCACCTATAAAATGATGACTGATAGCAGATTTTAATAAGCCACATAAAAGTTGTTTTTATGTTTAGAAAAGAAAAAAGACTTCCTGGGAGAAGTGTGACAGAATTTGCTTGTATAATTTCACAGGTAACTGAAGTCTTTGACTGTCACATTTCTCATCTATTGTCTCTTTGGCCATGAGAAAAAAAACATTCTATGTGGTTATCATTTTTAACTGTCTTTGTTTTTAAAACAAAGATCAAAGAACAATAATCACTTATGTGATTGTTATGTTAGAACCTAGTCTGTCCTGCGTTGAATAACTACAACTGGCTCTGAGTTGAGAAAACTCTCATCCTTTCTCTTTATCCTGAACTTGACTTCTGATTTTGACTTTTTGAGGTATGCTATTTCCAACAAGCTGTACAAGGGACCTCTCAGTACTTGGTTTTTGAGGCTACTGTCATGGATTGTAGCTTGAATATTGTATAACTGTTGTTCAGGAAAAATGGGACATTTTCCATGTGCTTTTAAACAGGGAAAGGAACCCAATATCCAGAAGTCATATTCCTCGGAACAGGATCTGCAATTCCAATGAAGATCCGAAACGTCAGTTCTACACTTGTGAACATAAGGTATTGTTTTGGAATAGTGAGGAATTTTTTCATCTTGTTGGTAGAAGGGTCTCCAAACCCTCAGTGATGACAGACCAGATCAACTATTTTCGTTGTTCCTCCTTCCCTATTAGGGCTAAGATATGACGTCATGGCTATTAGTTCACCTGTTATTGTTAAGTGTTTAGGGATTATCATTGTATATTCCATATACCTGATTTTGGGAGCTGTGAAAAATATCCCCTAGTGGGGGTTGAGAAGGGGAAGCTTAATACTTTTTTCTTTTTAAGCATCTTTTAAGTGGAAACACTCATATCTTGAAGCTTCCTTATTACTCTCTTCATCAGTAGTGTGATTACTGAATGATTTTTTTTTCAACCTTCTTTCAACATGATGTATATGGCTAGGTACTTAAAATATTTCTTTTTAATTTCTTCTTAAACAAAGTTGGTGGAGCATGTGCTGATATCCTTCAAATTACTAGGGGATTTAACCACAAATAATTATTTAGTGCAGAAACCATGAAAAGAAAAGTGACAAGAAAAGTGGCCCCTTGTGTGAGTATTCCTTGACATGACAACCCATAATGCAGAAAATCTATCTTGCAGATTATCTACATCAAGAATAAATGTATTCTTTGTCATCTAAGAATTTTGAATGACTCGTTCTCCATTTAATTCTAAGATACACCAAAAATAGCTGCTTGGGGACAGCACTCATAATGTGGTGAGGAGGAGTAGTTATAAAGTATGGGAGACATTGAGTGGGAAAGGATACTATTTGCATTGAAGACCTAGGCAGGATTTCTTAACCCAAAATTTAGAACAAAAACTAGCCTCTTGATTAGATATCCAGTATTCCATTCTTCTATCTTTAGCAGTAAGGACATGTCAGTAGTAAAAGGCAAGTGTGATATCATAGAAAGCTCTGGACTTGCACTCAAAAGATCTGCATTCAAGTTTCAATTCCAGCATTTGCCCTCGAGCAAATCATTTACCTCTCTGAGCTTGTTTTCTCATTTGAAAAATAGGACTGATAATATTGGTACCACTTACTTCACGTGGTGCTGGTGAAATAGTGGTGTATTAATCTGGAAAGTTTTGGTCATAACAGCTAGGTGGCACAGTGGCTAGAGTGCTGGTCCTGGAGACCTGAGTTCAAATCCAGCCTCAGACACTTACTAGCAGCATGATCCTGGGCAAATCACTTCACCTATATTTGTCTCAATTTTCTCATCTGTAAAATGGGGATATTAGCAGCTATCTTGTAGAGTTTTTGTGAAGATCAAATGATATAATAATTGTAAAATGCTTAGCACAGTGCATGGTGCACAATAGGTGTTTAATAAATGTTTATTGACTAACTCACTAAAGAAAATGACTCCCAATTGATTAATTAGTTATTTCTTGCTTGATAAAATAGTTACTTTCAATTTCTGTAATGTTGTTGGGTGCATCCAGTTCCCTCTGATTGTCTCCTTAAAGGAAGGAGTTTGTGATTTATAAGTACAAAGTTTTTGAGTGATCTAATTTTTGTCCTTTTTTTGTTCTTAATCCTGAGCCATATTTTCCAAAAGATTTTTTTGCCATTTTCTTCTGGGTCTACTTTTTGCATGGGAATTCCTGATTATCAGGGTATATATTTTGCTTTGAAAAATATTACAAAATCCTTTGTGTAATTTTTTTTCTACCTCTTCAGTCTTAAGAGAAGATATTGGTACATAAGCTTCAATTACATTCACGTTGCTGTTTTTGTTCATAAGGCAAGATGATCAAGTGTCCCATAAAATGTTTGTTGTTTTCTTGGGGCCTGTGTGTAACCTACTCTACCTAATTCATTATCTGTCTCTCCTAGCCCATAGAAAAGCTAGTGCCTTCCCTCCAAAATTATCTAAAATTTATCCAGTTTATTTTTTGATTGCACATAAGCATTTGCTTCTCCCTTATTAGATTGCAAATTCCTTGAAGGCAGGGATGGCTTTTGCTTTTCTTTGTAATATCAGTTCTTAGTACAGTGCCAGGCACATAGTAGAAACTTAAATGTTTGAATAAAATTTGATACTTTATTAAAAACTTGAAGAGAAAATATGTTTAAAGGTAACTTCTATAGACTCTATGTTTCTCTTCTCATGCTTTGTCATTTGAGGACCTCTATAATTAATTGTCTTGAACAAATGAAATAATATATATAGTGCTTTGTAAACCTTAAAGCACACATAAATATGAACTATTGGTATTATTAAAAGGAATTCTCACAGCTTTTCTATGTAGTAAATAAATTAAAAGATATTTAAAGAACATTGCTCTGGTATCCCCATGTCTGTAAAACAAGAGTAGTCCTCTAGCAGGGGTGCCAAACACTCCCCAGGCCACCAAAGTTCAGAGTGCTGCCCAAACTACATCAAAATGTAATTGGGAAATGTTTAACAAAATAAATAAAAGATATAATACAACACAGATAATTTTAATTTGGGATTTTCTAAGTCAATATGTAGCCTGCTCCAGTCAGCATTGCTCTACCTTCTTAAGAAAAATTTACTCTTAGCATTTTTTTCTCTTGGTACTAAACCTTGTGGTATTTTCCCTGGCAGCTCTGACCAATCTCTGCTACTGGATTGTGGGGAAGGCACCTTTGGGCAACTCTGCCGCCATTATGGGGATGAAGTGGATAGAATCCTGATTAACATTGCTGCTGTGTTTGTATCCCACATCCATGCGGATCACCATACAGTGAGTACTGACCTAGAACCAAGCCTTCTGCTCACTGGTTCAGGAGCCTTTTTATTGTAGCTTACTTTTCAATTTTGTGTTCATATGTTTTTTTTCCATCAATACCAATTCTTCCTCAGGCTCTTTCCCATCCACTCTTCCTGGAAAAAGACCTCTTTTTCTTGCCACTGGGTTGTTTGTGAATTTTTGCTGTTATGTTTCTTTTATAGTATCTCAAGAGTTGGAAAGACCTAGTCTAACCTTTACCAGAACAAAAATACCTTCTACAACACATCTGACAGGTAGTCTTTGCTTGAAGACCTGTGGTAAGGGAGAACCCACTGCTTCTAAAGCAGATCATTTCCCTTTGAGGATAGTTCTAATAAGCTTAGATTTGCTTCTTTTCAATTTTTTGTTTTTGGTTCTTTTCAATTTTTTATTGCTTCTAGTTCTTATCTCTGAAGCCAAGCATAGTAAGTTTGTTTATGAAGTTTATTCCATGTTATAGTCTTCCAACTTGCACAGAGCTATCATTTTTTTTTCTCTAAGTTTTCTCCACTCTAGATTAAGTATCTCCAATAGCCTTTGTTGGTGTTTCCATGGCTTGAATTCAAGGACCTTCACACTACCTTTCTGTGGACCCTCTCCAGGTTTTTCAATGTCCTTCTAAAATGTGCCCCTCTTGAACTTTCATAACCTCCTTATTTCTAGACACAGTGCTACTGTGATTGCAGCCAAAAATTTGATTAGTTTTCTTGACTGCCATATCACATTGTTAAGTTATATTGATGTTACAGTTCACTAAAATATATAGATCTGTTTTACACAAATTGCTATCTAGCTCTCCCTCAAGTTGTAGTGGTGAAGTTAATTTTTGGATCTTAAATGTACAAGTTTACAGTTATCCCTATTAAATTTCATTTTATTAACTTTAGTGTAATAGTCTATTAAGATATTTTTTTCATCCTGAGTCTGTCATTGTTAGCTACCCTTCCTATCTTTAAGTCACTTGTAAATTTGATAGGCACTCCATCTCTGCCTTTATCCTAGTTGTTGAGGTTTAGGGGTGCTGGGACCCCAAAATCCCGACACATGGTTCCTGCCTGAATGAATTTGACCCAAGCTTTCTTTCAGCCAAAAGCAAGGTTTATTAGAATGTTGGTCAGGAGTGGGCAAGATTTAAAGAGCTGGCCATATTGGCCAGACTCTTAAGGAATCCAAGTATTTGTATCGCTAATGTGAGCAGGCCAGATCTTAATCTGAGCACCTTAGTGGAGGCCAGATGGACTTTATATACAGAAAGACTGTGGGAGAGACCGAGGAGTGGCTAAGTAGTGTGGGGTGACTGTGAGGTAATAGAAAGCCAGAGACCTGGCCAAGGGAGAATGGAGCCTAGATAGGATTAAGGATAGGAAATTGGCAATAATAAAAGGCCAGTTGATAGGATTAGAGCCTCAGGAGAACTCCAGAGATTTGGCCTTGTGGGAAAGTCCAGGGCTTTTCCTTTTTGGGGTCCAGATCCCAAAGACATGGTCTTTTCCTTTTAAGGGTTCAGATCCCATTCCCATCATTGTCATTGATAAAAGTTGTTAAGTAGCACAGAGCCAAGCACAGATTCTTGTGCCCACTGGAGATTTTCAGAAGTTGGCATTAAACTGAGACTATATTAGAGTTCATCTTGGAATCTACCTAATTAAACTATCTTCTAGCCTGAATAGCACGAGAGACTTTGTAAACTATATTGCCAGCATTTCTTAATCTGCTAGCTTAATAAACTTATCAAAAAGGAAATAAGTTTAGTCTTTCATGGCTTATTTTTGGTATCCATTTTGTTCTTCCTCCTAATTTTTATTTTTCACCAAAATGCTTTCTACCACGGTTTGCATGATTTTCTCACATCAGTATACCTTCTTAATGTACACTGCTACTCTTCCTTCTCTTTTATTTTTCCTATTTGCTTTGAATAAGATATACTCATCTGGAGAATTTAGTGTTACCAGTAAGGTCAAATTTGCCTCTTTACATTGGATCCCCTACTATCTTTTGCATGTTACTTGAGTTTTGGGCATTCACATATTTGAGACCAAAAGTTTTACTATTGGTGGTAGTGGTTCCTTCTTGGATTTTGTTATCTGTGAACTGCTGAGGGTCTCAATTGTTATTCTTCCTGCAGCTTCACCTATGCAATTTTTATCTTCCCTCTCCCCTTTTAAAAAAAAGCCTTTTTAAAAGGTTTAAAGCCCTTTTAATTAGACTTGCAAAATACTAAACAAATTTCTTTTTTACCTGCCATTATTAGCTATACCCTTGCCTAAAGCCTATCATTCCTTTATTTTAAGCTGTGCTTTAGAAATTGAAATCCTTTTCCTTGACACCACCCTCTTAAAGAGCTGTTCACTTCCTAAATTTGTCAGGCACTTACTGATGAAAATAACATCTGTGCTCCTAAGTTAGAATAGCTACATGGAAAAATGGGTAGAATATTGGGCCTTGAGTCAGGAAGTTAACTGAACCCAAGTTCAGTTTTGGCTTCTGACACTTACTAGCTTTGTGATCCTGACTAAGTCACTTAACTGCTGTCTGTCTCAGTTTATTTAGTTGTAGAATGAGGACAAAAGCAGCACCTACCTCACAAGGTTGTTGTAAGGGTCCAATGAGATATTTGTAAAGCACTAAGCACAGTGTCTGGCACATAGTAAGTACTTAGTAAACATTTGTTTCCTTTCTTCTTTCCTAAGTTCTTAGTTTTTTTGTGGGGTTGTTTTTCTTTTTTTGCATGATAAGACTTTGTAATCTTTAGCATTGCTTTCTAAGGCAATTTGTGCTCCTGTGAATCACCAGGACTGAGTCATCTGCTTTTATAAGTTTTGTGAAGTTCTCTGTCATGTCCTGGATATATGCTCCCTTCAGCAGGACAGTGACCAGTTATTTCTGCTCGTTTCTTCATCCTCTGACCCTTATTGTATAATCTCTCACCTGGAAGAATCTGTAGATCTACACATCATTCCTTGGAGGATAAGCAACTGTTTTCTAATAGAATAGAAACTTTTTGCTCTCACATAACAAAGTAAATGATACATGCTTAGTTAGTTGATTCATTGATTGATTTCCCCTTCCCTTTTCTTAGGGAAGAACCTTTTATACCTTTCTGTTAGTTCCATATACTCAGTGGTCCTTCTTTCCTTTTTCTCTGTGACATTTTCTCTTCTAACTTCCTAATACAGTTTAGTATTCTCTGCCTCTTTTATATTGTTTTTCTTTACTTTCATATTGATGCTTTTTTTTAAAAGAAAAATTTCATTCTTCATGATAAATCTGGTAAGTGGAGAGGTATTCCTCAAGTCTTTTCACCCCTAGACACCTCTGTCTAAGAGAGATCAGCCTATACTTTGGGGCTTAGATAGTTGGTATTCTGCCATAGCCAACTGACTGCTTTATACACTTAGTTCATAGAAAAAATTTTCCCTGTTCTGTATTCTTACTGGAAATGAGATGTGCATTCTTTCTTAAGTCTTACTTTCTCACAGGTGTTTTTTGAATGTAGCTGGTATCCATTCAGCTCTAAAGACTGATGTTTTGATCTTAGCATTCCAGTAAAAGCTAAAATGGGGCCATCTTTGGAGTTGTCCCTTTAGAGTTCAGGGGCCTGAGGATCTAAGCCCTGTATACGATACGCATGTGCTACAAATACTAGAAAGATTGAACTCTAGAACTAAGTAAAATAAAGCTAAAGAGAAGGAGAAAAATAAAACAAGCTTTCTACTTGTCTCCATTTTTGCCTTTTATTTTTATTTTCTAGGGCTTATTAAATATCCTGTTGCAGAGAAACCGTGCTTTGGTAAGTTAAGCTGTTTTTTTTACTGGCAGCTTGAGATTCATTGATTTTATACACACACACACACACACACACACACACTGTGTGTGTGTGTGTGTGTGTGTGTGTGTGTGTGTATAAATAAAATTACAGGAAACACCCACTTCTTCCATTTCCATTGAGCTTCCCTGAAGATGCATCTACGCTGTGACCTCCTTTTCTGTTTTGCTTTTCAGGCATCAATGGGAAAATCATCCAGCCCACTGTTACTAATAGCACCTACACAAGTCATGATGTGGCTGCAGCAATACCATGACCATTGCCAAGAGATTCTAGATGCTGTCAAGTGAGTGATTACCACCTGCTTATCCACTAACATTACCATTCCCCTAACCTACTCCTTCTCAAGAGGCTTTGAAGAGCCAGAATTTTTAAACCTATTTGTGTCATGGACCCTTTGGTAGTCTGATGAAGCCTATGAACCCTTTCTCAGAATAGTATGAATAATAATAAATAAATTAAAAGATAAAGGATTGTAAGTGAAACCAATTATACTGAAATATAGTTATCAGAGTATTTGAAAACAAGTTCATTGGCTTCAGGTTAAGAACCCCTACTGTAGAGTTCTTTGTTTTACTGGCTATGACTTGTGTGTAATTTTATTTTAGTAAGTTTGTATGTTGGCCTCATTAGAGTGAGGCCTGAGCTTTGATTTAAATTTTTTTTCTTTTTTTTCTACATAGAATGATCCCTGCCAGGTGCCTCCAAAAAGGAAATGAAGTCTCCAAACCCATGACTGCAAAATTGATTACTTCACTGCTAGAAAAATATGATTTCGAAGAGGTACAGAATCTACTAGTTACCTCAAAGGGAGAAAAGTGAGGTAGCAGGGGCAGCAGAGCCCTTCATGTTTTTTCATTCAGTTTCAGACTTGTTTGGTTCAGCACTGTAAGAATGCTTTTGGTTGTGCATTGATCCACAAATCAGGCTGGAAAATAGTCTACTCTGGTGATACCATGCCATGTGATGCTCTGGTCCGTTTGGGTGAGTAATTACACATGGGTAAGAAATTTGGTTGAAGTTTTTTTCTTTTAAATGTTTAGTTTGATATTTTAGTAGGTGGAAGAGAATGAAGGAAACTGATTACAGTAGCATATGCTTTAGAATCAGCATTGGATTCTCCTTGCCTCGTACTTTAAGTACTTCAGTCATCTTATTATATGCAGAGGTAGCAGTGCCAAAGAGGAAGACTGCTTTAGCCAGGGAAGTAAAAATAATGGTTCCCCTCCTCTCATGACAGGCATTTAGATAGTGTTAACTTATTTTCCTTAGGGAAAGGAGCTACAATGCTTATTCATGAAGCTACTTTGGAAGATGGTTTAGAAGAGCAAGCAGTAGAAAAGACACACAGGTAATTTGCTCCTTAGCTCTTTTCTGTTAAATGTGACCTCTCACCACTTCTTAACGAGGTGATTTTGTCTCAGTAGCTTACCAGCAAGTATACCATTATAGAACTGTGGCTAGTGGTTTGTATGCTACTGCAGCTTAAAGGGGCTCTCCTCTCTGGATAGGAATGAAAATGTTGAAAGACAATTCAGAAACCATCTGATCTGGCTCATACTGAACAAGATAACCCATCTGCATCTCCCAAAAGTGGTCATCTAGCCTTTGTTTGAAAGTTATTTTGCTCTAGGATAGTACTAGTTGTACCTTTTTCCTTAATTAGAATCAAAATCTGCCTCCTTGAAGCTGCCTCCTATTGCTTCAGCTCAGCTGCCTTTGAGGCCAAGCAGAACAAATCTAATTCCTCTTCCCTTTGATAACCCTCTAGATACTTGAAGATAGAAGTCCAGAATTCTTAATGTAGCCTCATATCACATTAGCTTTCTTCATTTCATTATTGAATGGTTGATTCATTGAGTTTATGGTCCTCTAAACTTTTGGAAATTTTTCACAGGAACTGTGTTCAGGCCATGATTTTCTAGTCTTGTACTTGTGCAGTGGCCCAACAGTCACACTTACCAGTTCTTTCACTGAACCCCACTGTACCCACTGAAAGTCTGACCTGAAAGTTCAACAGTTACTTAGCCATTGAGAGGGTTATAGGCCTAAAGTTTGAGAGATCATTCTGAAAATGAAATACAGTCAGGAGACAAAGACTACAGATTGGAGGGAGGAGACTAGGGTAATCTTATTGAATGTTTATTGAGTTCTCAGCATGTAGGGCACAATACTAAACAATCTGATAATTTTATACTGCTTAACTATTTTAAAAACAATTTACATTATTCTGGATAATATTTATAATAGCCTATAAGTGAAGTATTTTTATCATCTACATTTTACAGTTGAAAAAATTGATTTGGAAAGTCATATTGCCCAAGGTCATACAACTGGTAGGTATGGGAATGGAGAACCTAGGTCTTTTATAAGTCCAGTATTCTTTCTGCTGTTATAGGTTCTGTAGTGTTTTTGTAGGGATGTGAAAGAAGTAGAAGTCATAGTTCCTGTTTTAAAGAAGTTTAAAAAATAGTCATAAAAGAAGATAATTAGATGTAGCTATTTCAAACTCTGAGGTCATTTTATATTGAAAGTTAAAGGTTTCAGATACCCTTTTGCTTTTTTTGCACTTTCAGTCACATTCTGCTTCCTTCACTTATTTGCAGCACTACTTCTCAAGCAATTGGAGTTGGGGTGAAGATGAATGCCAGATTTATCATGTTAAATCACTTTAGTCAGCGTTATGCCAAGATCCCCCTTTTCAGCCCTGACTTTAATGAGAAAGTTGGGATTGCATTTGACCACATGAGGGTATGTATACTGTGTGTTATGTAGTTGGTTGAGGATTAGGGCAGAGAATTTGCATTGTGCACATTTGGTTTTTCTGAAACATAATTCCAAAAGTCCTTTCTCCTTTTCTGTAATTAGCTAAGTTATTTATTATAGCTTTTAGCTATATTCAGAATTAGAGCTTGCCTGCCTCTGATAATAACAGTTTGATTGGAGAATAGGTACTGCATTGGTTCATACCACAGTTGTACCTGTATTTTTCAGTATACAACTCAGTGGTGCTTTGTCTCATGGTCTGAAGGAGGAAGCAGTCAACAGTTGCCTATTTTTAATGGTGGGTAGATAGTGTGACTATTATCTGTTACTGTATTAATGAAATTAGGAAAGATTGCATTCAGTTAACTTCTGCTTTTCTTTAAAGCATCTTTTTTGTTAAGATCTCTTGAACTGGGAATAATGTTACCTTAGTAAGGTAAGAGCCATGTACCTCTGGTATATGATTTTATCACTGACTGCTGGTTACCGATGCCTTTTTTTCCCCCTGAGCTATATATAACCTTTCATTTCACGCTTCTGTTTAGGTTGACTTTGGAGACTTTCCAACAGTTCCTAGGCTGATCTCTCCTCTCAAAGCCCTGTTTGCCGATGAGATTGAAGAGATGGTAGAAAGGAAAGAGAAACGGGAGTTGCGACAGATCAAAAAGGCCATTATTAGTTCAGATCACTGTGGGAATGATGATGGACAAGTGCCCAAGCAGGCTTATAATGGAGAAGAGGAACCTAAAAGCCCACCAGTCAAAAAGCTCAAAGTAAATTGAAGGCATCTACCATGGCCCTGGACAAGGAGAATAGGCACTCATCCTTCCTTTTCTTTCTTCATGGGGAGGTCATGAGAGCTGATTGAGTAGAGTGGTATCTTCTTTTGCACTCCAGAAAAAAAAAATCCTATTAACTTTGACAGAGCTACTACTGGGAAGTAGAATGTAATCTCTTGGAAGATGGATTGTGTGATTTTTGTCTTTGTATCCCAGTGTCAGTGACATAATGCCTTGCAAATACTAGTTATGTTATAAACATTTTTGTAATTGAATTTAAAGAATGAACAAATTGAATCATATACAATTGAAACGTGACTAGGTTCTTCTAATAATTATCAAAAAAAAATTTTTTTTTAATTTGGTTTTTAAAATATTTTTAGACAATCAGTAGATGGCAGGATGGAAAATAGGATATCCCACTCAGGTAGAACTAATTTCTCTATAATGCAGTGAGGGAGAATGATAGCATCATAAATTTGAGTGTTGAAATGGACTTTAGCAGCCATGTGACCAAATCTGACCAGTAATCCAGCCTCTCTCAATGAGGAGAATGCAATACCTTCCGAGGTGTGACATTTCCCTTTTGAACAGCTTCAATTCTTAGGAACGTTTTTCCTGACATCAAGCTTTTATTTGCTTCTTTGCAACATCTACCGCATTACTACTGGTTCTTCCTTCTCGAGGCAAGCACGCACTGAAGAACTCCACTACCTAATAATACTTTGAGTCCAGTCATTCAGATAGTTGCAAGTTATTACTATGCAATCCTGCTCTAACTTTTCCCCAAGAATGGTATGAAATACTTTATCAAATGCTTTGCTAAAACCTAGGTAGATCCTATATAGAGCATTCCTTGTTTTTATTTCTTCTTATTTTTAAGCCAAGCTGGTTCTTTGTAATGACTGCTTCTTTTTCTAGATAGGCTTACAGGGTTAGAACTAGAAGAGACCCTTGGAGGCCATCTGGTCCAAACCCCCTATTTTACTCATGAGGACACTTGAGACCTAGACAGAATAAGTAGGTTGCCCAAAATTACACAGGGAGTTTGAGTCCTTAGACTCTAGTAGAGTGAGGTTCCTTCCCCTCTAACATTTTGCTTCCTTGATGTTCACTAAACCATTCTGTAGTGATTAGTTTTAAAATTTTCACAGGAATTAGGCCTATGATTTTCAGATTTTTTTCAATTTTGTTGAATTCAGCTTCCTTCATGAACCTCAGCTCATTGTGAACTTTAGCACTCCTAACACTATTCTTTGAGGATTGTGTCATATAAACATCTTCTGTTTCCTATCCTTGTTTAAGTCTTTTGAACGTCTTTTTACACTCTACATTGGGCTTTCACATTGGGCTCTTCAAACAACTATTTTTCCTAATAGAAATTATTTCCCTTTATGTCTTCAGAATTTCATCCTTTCAAGTTTCCTATCACTCCTGCACAGATTTCCCCTGCAGAATTTTAGTCCACAGGATTCTACTGCAGTTCTCTGAAATCTAGTATGCATGTCTTAACCGTGCTTCCTCTTCTCTTACAAATTTTGGAGGCAAAAAGGGGTCAAATTTTTCCTCCCACCCTGTTTCCCATCATTGTCATCCCAATATCTGGTTATAACTTGTCTGTGAGAATCAGATCGATTATGAAATTTTTCCTTGTTGGTTTCTCCATCTTTTGGAAGATGGAAGATATTCTCAAGAAGTTAATATTTTACCTGCTTTTGGCAGAATGAATGCTCCAGTAAATATCTGCATAATTGAATTGTCTCATCATGAGTATATTATAGCTTTATGCCAGGTTTTTGATCTGTTTCCTGAAATCATCTATGTCTTTTTGTTCAAGTAACCATTTTCTATCCACAGTGATATGTGTTCCAAGGGGAATGTGATCAGTCAGATTGTGGTATGTCTACAACATGCCACATCTACCTTTCATCCATTATCCCACAACACACACACCTGCTCCATCCTTCCGGTCCTGCTGCTTTACAACTTCCCTGTTCTGCAAGCCCCTCAGGGCAATTATAATCTAATTGCTACCTGTGCACCCATAGCAGCAGCTGCATGGGTACTATTGGGAAAGTTCTCTTGCCCTCCAGAGTACCTTTTGACAGAGCAGGCACTTGAAGGGTGGGCATTCTGTACTAGGAGTATGAGCTGTCATCCCCTTTTTGTTTTGCTTTGGAAATACATTACAGTAGTACCTAAATATAACATAAATGTACAAGGGTTCGTGCTTGATTTTTTTTTTTTTTACAGATAAGAGTGCATGATCAGAAGTTTGTAGAGTACTGGGCTATTTTAGCAATATCCCTTCTGGGTCACTTATTTATACCCAAATGCTCTGCCCCATGCTTACTGTCTCTCTAGATTTTTTTACTTAGTGCCTAAACCTTGAGCATTAATGTATAGGCTTTTAAAAATATATATATTTTTATTTATTTCATTAAATATTTCCCAGTTACATGTAAAAAATGTTTAACATTCATTTTTTAAAATTCTGAATTCAAATTCTCTTTCTCCCTCCCACTCTCTTTGAGAAAGTAAACAATATGATATTGATTATACATGTGAAGTCATACAACACACATTTCCATATTAGCCATGTTGCAAAAGAAAAAAAAAACTCCAAGAACAATAAAGTAATAAAGTATGCTTCAATCTGTTTCTCTCTACATATAGACAGTCTTGTGTCTTTTGGAATTGTCTTGGATCAGTGTTGATCAGAATAGCTAGGGGCTTTCACAATCATCATTATAGTATTGTTACTGTGTTCAGTGTTCTGGTTCTGCTCACTTTACTTTGTATCATTTTTTATAAATCAGCCCAGATTTTTCTGAAACCATCCAGCTTGTCATTTCTTATAGCACAATAGTATTCTATCACAATCATATACCACACAGCTTGTTCATCTGTTCCCCAATTGTTGAGTATCCCCTCAATTTCCAATTCTTTGCCACCACAAAAAGAGCTACTATAAATATTTTTGAACAGATATGTCCTTTTTCTTTGATATCTTTGGGATAACAGACCTAGTATTGTGATTGCTGGGTCAAAGGGTCTGTATATGGGCTTTTGAGACAATGGATTTTAAATGGTTAGGTGTCCCAAGTGCTGTTTTCCTTCACTGTAGTTTTTTTCTTTGGTATAAAACTTGGTAAAGATAGGCAGTGTTCTCTCTTCCCCATTCTTTTTATTTTCAAACCCTTTTGACTAGATTTGCACGACGTCAGGTAAATATACTCTTACCAGATTTTGTGAGGTGGGCTACATCCTTGATTGAGGAGTCTGCCATTTCTGTATTTTAAGCTGTAGTTCAGAAGTCCAAATTTCATTTTCTGAGATCACCATTTTAGTCAACTTTTCATATTTGTCTAATATTTTTCTTTTTATCTTGCCTTCAGTGGACAATAGTGTAGTCTTCATTTTCTTGTATGAGTCTGGTAATCATTTTCAATACTTTTTGTGCTCTTCACTTTATTGTTTTCGTTATGTCAGTGAATACCTGTCTTGGTATCCGTGAGCAAGGTGGCACCAGCTACCAGTGAACTACATTTTTTTCTCCGACCCTTACTGGATGAACTCTCAATTCATAGCTTCTGTGAGTTTCCTTTACTATACATGGGAGCACAAAGGAGAACTGCCCCCTTATAGCCACAAGTTCCCACCTCTTTAGAAAGAGCTTCAAATTTGTTTTTTAACTCTTAAGTTTGCAGTTGTCCTTTTTCTTCCTCTTTGTGACATTCTTTCACTCTGATAAGGTCTCTTCCCCTTTTCCACTTCAGATGACCCTTTTTTTCCATTGAGGTGTTGCTTCTATTTCCTTTAGAAATAGCTGTGCAGATAGGTGGGGCAATGAATAGAGCATTGGACCTGTAGTCAGGATGATCTGAGTTCAAGTCAGACTTCAGACACTTAATAGCTGTGTGATCTTGGGCAAGTCACTTAAACCCTGCCTCCATTTCCTCAACTGTAAAATGAGGATCATAGTAGTATTCTCAGGGTTGTTGTGAGGATTAAATGAGAGCATATTTGTATACTTAGCACAGTGCCTGGCATGTTGTAGACACTTACTATATGCTTATTTCTATCTTCTGCCTAATGACATAATGAACTAGCTTTTGTATGAAGTCTTCCAGTGAGGTGGAATCTATTACCTCTGGGTAGCCCATTCCACTTCTGGACAGCTCTAATTCTTAGGAAATTTTTCCAAACTTTAGGCCTAAACTGGCCTCTTTGCAATTTGCACATGTTGCTTCTGATTCTGTCCTCTGGGACCAGGCAGAATAGGTCAATCTCGCTTCTAAATGATAACCCTTCATTTAAAGGTGGCTACCATGTTCAGAAGCTTCTTTTCTCCAAGCTAAATATTTTGTTTCTTCAACTCTGTCATATGGCATAGATTCAAGGCCCTTTACCAACTTGGTTGCCCTTAAAACTGTGTTTCCCAGAACTGAACATGGTATTCCAAATAAGGTCTGGTAAGGGTCAGTACAGTGGGACTTTTACCTCCCGGAAGCTATTCCCTCTTAATTTAGCTCAAGAAGACGTTAGCTTTTTTGTCTGCCACATCATACTTCTGACTCATTGAGCTTGTAGTCTACTAAAACGCCCAGGTCTTTTTCAGAACACTTGCTATCATCCATGCCTCTCCTATTTTATGAAGTTCATTTCTGCACCCAGGTGCAAGACTAATTTATCCCATTTATCTCTAATTTCATCTTATTAGATGAGTTTCCTTTGATCCACATTAGTCTTTTAAGACAAATCCCATTTTCCTCTTTGGAATTGTTTCCCTTTGTGTCTTCACAATATCAGTATTGAGAATCTCCTGAGCTGTAGCCCGTTGTAGCATTTTTCTTCCTGGAGTTTTTCTTGTCTTTCTTCTTTCCTCTTTTGAATCTGCTTTCCTAAAATCTAGGTTGCATGTTAGACTTTGCATTTGTCTTCTCTATTACAGAGTAATAGAGAGTAATCCCTTCTCCTTAGGTTCCCATTGTTTTTGACAACCAGGACCTCTCTTGTAGTGAGAATCAGATACAAAATTTTCCCTTTTGGTGGTTGGTTTTTTTTTTTTTTTTGGTTACCTTTTTTCAAAGTATAATGTCAATAAGCAAGTCAAGCAGTTATAATTTGTTCTGCTTTTGCTGAGAGATGTCTGATAATTGGAAGTCTCCATCTCTATTATATCCTAATTCTATGCCAAATTTGTGATCTGTTGTCCAAAATCTTATACATTTCCTCTTTCTATGTGAGTGGTCTGCAGTCTACTCAGATGACATAGTTACTTAACTTCTTTTTATCATTTGGCCCTCTGGTTTCTGCATTTCCTCACATACCTTCCTAACTACCCTAAATTCTCTTTTATCTATCCTGTTTCTTTTCAGTAATGTTCTTTAGGTTCTTTTGGCAGTCAGGTTAAGTCCTATTACCACTGCTCAGAATAATGTTTTTAAATGCATAAAATAACTAAAGGTTACAAAGGAAACCAATTATGTTGAAATGCAGTTACCAATTTTAAGTTTACAGAATTCAGGTTAATACCTCTGAAATAAAGTATACCTATGTAGGGCCAGTCATGGATTTCATCTCACCAAGTCTCAGTAATCCTTATGAGGTCAATTTTGCATTGGGACTTATAGTTCTTATTTATTGCCTGAACTTTGGACATTTATATACAGATATTTAAAACCACTAGTTTCACTACTGGTTCATTTCTCCAATTTTTCTCCCCCAGAAGATATTAGAATTTAGAGACAGCATGAAATTTTACTTTCCAAAACTCATCTAGAATCCATAAGGACAAACAATTTTAGAGATAATACTATGTAATGAAGATTTTTTTTGAAGTCATGACTTTAAAATGTCCAGGAATTGTATTATAGTACTTTGTGCCTACTCAATTCTGTCTTTCTCATTCAGACTTGCCTACTCACCACCACCTCAATGAGAACATGCTATACCTTACAGTGGATATTGGGTAGCTGAGTGATATAAGAATGACACTGCATTGAGGGAATCTCCACATTCAAGAATGTCCCTTCTGCTCACGGCGTCTACTTTAATCTCCCTATTTTGTTTGTTTGCGTTGCATAACAATTCTACCAAGATACAGCGGGTTGGTAGTGATGCTTATTCACTGGTGCTGGATCCACTTCTACTGGTGTTACATATCCCCTTTTGGGAACTGTATGATTGTAGCACAAGGTGCTCATACAATTAACCACCCTGGTACAGGCCTTCATCACCTCACACCTTCAAATAGCATTCTGGCTGGTGTCCTTTATTCAAGCCTCTCTCAACTCCTAATGTAGCCTAATACATTCAGATGTCAAAGTGATTTTCTTAAAGCACAGATGTGGCCATGTCACCCCCTTAAAGTCCTTCACATCCTAGCCCTTTCTTGCCTTTACAGTTTTCTTAGACTTTATACCCTTCTATGTACTTTATAATTGGAAACGCTGGCCTTCTTGCTCTTCCTTGTACCCAAAACTCTGTCCCCCTACTCTGTGCTACTTGCCAGTAAAAAGGCACCCCATTTCTGGAATGTTCCCCCCCTCTTACTTGCACCTTCTGACTTCCATAGCTTCCTTCAATACTAAACTCAAATTCCACTTTTTAAGGAAGGTGCCCTGCCACCTTCCTTTCCCTCCCTCTGAGATTAACTTTCAATTATCCTGCTTATGTTCTACATACGTAACTGTTGGGATGTTATTTCCTATAACATGAGCTCCTTGAGGGAAGAAACTCTGTTTTTGCCAATATCTTTATCCAAGGCACTTAATGGAGTGTATGATAGGAAGTCCTTAATATAAAATGATTACTAACAGCTATATATATCCCTTTGGTGCGGCTGAATGACTGGAAGGAAGAGCACTGGCAAGAGAATTCCCTAAAAGTTCTCCATTATGTGTGGATGGAAGATTCTCATTTTCCTTTGTGATCATAATCCTTTTCCGATGATGATAAAGCAAAATGGTCTTATTATTTGACTTTAAAAATGAGGGGGCTACCTACCAATTGGCCATTATTAGCCGTTCCTTGGGGTATTGATTCATGTAAGATAATTTTGCAAAGGGAAGGTATTAGTATTTAGCTTGATAATGCTACAGCAAAAAGGTTTTAGAAATATTTCTAGGAACTCATAGCTGAGGAAGAGGCCAACTGAAGACTAGCAGACTTTAGTCTCCATTTTAGAGTTTTTTGAATAGAGTATATATTTGAAAATACCTGACATATTTAGGGTGCTTTACCATTGACCAAACTCATTTGATCATCACAACACTCCCGTGAGATTGTCAGGGCAGGTAATTCTATCTTCCTTTTTTTATAGATAGGGAATCAGGACAGAAGTTTCAGAATTTGTGCCCAAATCTCACAGCTAGGTAATGCAATTCTGGGTGTAAAACCTACATCTATTGATTCCTCTGAGGCACCAATGTAGATAAACTGAATCTGAGACTTATTCCTTGCATATTTTTTTTTTGGTAAATACAATAAAGTATGCCATACTTAGTGACAGTAAATATTTTAATAACATTATTTTTTGACAACTTATGCATGTATAAAGGTGATTTCCCCACCCCTTACTACATTTACAAACTAGATAATGAGCTATACTTGCCATTTAAGTGTGCAAAGCCTACAACATTTTTAATTTGCAAATCCTGCTAAGAATTATTTTACAATGTGTTGGGAAAAATAACAAAGCATTTGAGTTTTCATTGTACATTTGTACATTAGTTTAGATGAAACATCTAAAATAAAACAAATATAGAGATTTCATATATACAAATATAACATTATAGTATGTATATATTTTTTTCAAAGGATAAAACCTTAAACTTTGACTTCGCATGCATGCCCTGAATTTAATTCTTCACTCCATTTATAACTTTAAGCCAAAAATTTTAATCTCTGCCCTGCAATGATCTCTCGTGTCAATGTTCACATACCCTTTTCCTCATCTCTTTTTCCCTGTCACTGATGTAATCAAATGATCAGAATGATTAATGTCATCAAAGAAAGTATGCAGATACATCTTATAGCATTTGCCTATTCTATTTGGGAATAGTCCCACTTCCACATGTTAGGACACGGAATTATTGCTATTCAATTTTAACATTTGAGTAAGGAGAGATCCAAGGTTGATGGACATGAGCTTACCTCGTGAACCAAATGCTTACAAGATCCCAGACTAAGCAAGCTGGTATGATCAAGTGATTATGAGGTCATTAAAGGAAAACATACCATCTTCAGATCTAACAGCTCTTTCTATGGATGTGAATTCTCTATCCTTGGGAAGAGTGGGGCAGTCAAATAACAGGTAGGCTTCCATGGACTGAAATAGACCTATATTTGGATGGCAGAGAGTTTGCGCAACTTGTCCCTTTTAGAAACAAGGACTTATTACATAAGCAGTATCTGGATGGAGAGGGGTCAGATGTTACTCCACACAGAACTGAAGACAGAAATTCACTTAGGTACCAAGGCAAAAGGAAATGATCAGAGAAGGTTAAACTAAGCACCTGAAACAAACAAAACCACTATGTCATCAACACTTGCCATAGATAGGAGATCAGTGTTTTCTTTAAAGTCCAACTTCACGTTGGCAGTGAAAGAAGAAAGTGCTGATGGAGAATGCTTAGCAAGAGCACTGGACATACATCCTTGAAGTGTTTCTGGGGGCATGTGTATATACAAGAGTGTTGGGTGAGGAGCTGCAGTGTCAAAGGGCAGTGCTTTCTGACTCTTCCTCTGAGTCTCTTTTCTCAGTCCCTGATTGTCTTGTCATGTGCTCCAGGAGACCCGGGTGGAGTGAAGAACCAAGTTCTACGTGGACAGAAGGGATATCAAAATGGACAAGATCTGGAAATGTGCAGAGAAAAGTAATTGAAATAGTGCCTCTTGCTAAAAGACACAAGTAGAATCAGCATTAAGGAGCAAGGAATTGTGGCCCACCCCATTACCACCACACTACAGCCTCCCCACACACACCATACATACATACTCATACACTCTTTTTTAAAGAGATGATACATTTATGACTTAGCATACTAAATGCAAAGATGGAGAATATTATCATATTTGTTATTAGGCTCTTCTTGTTCCCATTTTCCCTACTCGTAATAAGGTTGGAGAGGCTAAGGCATTCAGATTCTATCTGTAAATTGTAGTTCACGCTATAGGCTAATGAGCAGTCACTTTATATTGCACTAGAATATAAAGTAACTTTATTGGTAATTTTGTCCTATTTCAGTAACATAGTGGGGGAAAAGTCCAGCCCTCGATACTGAGAAGGCTCCAGTTAATTGCCTAGCCAGCTCCCACGGAGAGCTTAAGAAGGTAAATCTGAGGCTTTTTGCCATCTCCATGGAAGCAGAACTTGACTGGGCTCCTCATCCCAACAAGCCTAGGAATAGCTGGAGACAGATTGGATCTCTGTCACGTGAGGAAATGTGAAGTGCATTGACTGGAATTGGATCTCGGACCCTAATTTCAGTCACAATACACTGGTCCAAACCAGAAATCCATTGCCCTAAAGAAGCTCTGGTGTTATCCCCCGTTATGACAGATTTATAATCCCTCTTGATCACTCTTAACGTTATCTTAGTCCCCTTTGCAAAGATGTTCTCCAAGGAGAATCTCTTCCTCAGGCAGGTCAGGGCTTTCACTTTCCATGGCTAGCAAGAAGAAAGTGCCCATAGACCAATGTGTATGTGGAACTCCTAGAACATCTTTAACTTGGTATAATTACCTCTTGTTTGAGATAACATTCTTGGTTGAAGAAAATGACAGCTGTAATTTCACTCAAGCCTGTTATTTACACTCCCTTTCAAGGACTGCTATGCTAATGGTGAAGAAATGTGGAATCAATGAGGATCTACAGAGCTCCAAACAAACACTGGATAGTGGAAACAGCAAAGTACAGGTTTTATGAATGGGATTAGCCATCTGCCTCTACCTTGTGGCTTCTCTATCCTACCCCAAATAAAAAAATTAAAATATCTGTAGTGATGCAAAACGAGCAACTTGAGTCAGGTTTCTTCTGGGGGAAATGGTGAGAGTACCTTCCAGTGTAATCAGATAAAAAGCTTGGAAACTACACAATCCTTGACCCCCTCAAAGAAAAGAGCACTTGCAAAATAATGTGGTTTCTCCTCCTTTGGGTTTGTTCTTATTTATGTTAAGCTATTTGGCAAGATACACAGCATGAGGCTGACTGAATATATATCTTTAATATATCTTTACATGCCTACCACTGTTTGGTCATTATGTATCCAGAACACAAAAGGGGGAAGCAAAATAGATCCTCTGTAGCACTGTTCCCCACGAAACAAAGGAAAATGAAGTTCAGCCTTGCAAACCCCTTTCACTGAGGAGTTTCTTATTTCTTGGGCAGCTCCAGAAAACATTCTTATTAAGGCTTTGCTCTGATAGGCCAACCCCATTCTAGCTATAAAGACACAATGACAAGCAGAGATCTTTGGGGCTGAAGAGCTCAGCTATCAGTTGGTGAAGTGAGCAAGATTGACAGTCCTGGTATTAGTCCTCCCTTTACCTATGTAGGTAGGCCTACACAGTGCCAAAAGGAGGAGGCATATGGTCTCCCTTTACTCTTCTGCCTGACATTTAATGGTGAAAGGTGGAAAGAGCTATTAGCAAGCAAAGGGAGCAACCACTGCCCCTATATTATACTAAGCTCACACAATGGCCACTGCAAGTAACCATTCTCAAAATGTGCAATCTTTTCATTCAACTAAAAGGTAGCAGGAGACAAGAATGCCAGTTTTAGCTCACCCTTCTCTCTGTGTTCCTAATAAAGTCAAATTGTCCTTGTGAATATACTACTCTTAATTCCTTTTGCTATTCAAAGCAAACTATCCAGTTCTCTAGAAACTTGCTAAAAAGGAATACATAAGTATTCCTATAAAGCATCGTCATAATTTTCTATCATAATAACCAAAACGCTAATTCACACGGCTGTGTTAGGTAGTGTCAATCTGGGAATGGCTAGAGAGCTTGGCTTGAGAATGTTTGAAAGTGGGGCAGCTAGGTGTCGCAGTGGATAAAGCACTGGCCCTGAAGTCAGGAGGACCAAAGTTCAAACCCAGTCTCAGACCAAACACTTGACACTAGCTGTGTCCTGGGCAAGTCACTTAACCCCAACTGCCCAAAAAAAAAAAAAGAATGTTTGAAAGTTATCTCAACAAGGTTCTAAAAAAAATAGTTCCTGTCTCAAAAGTTTTGTTCTAGTTTATTATTATAGATTCTATGTAAAGTTTATTCCTCCAGATTCTATGTAATCTTGTTTTCCTTGATATTATGGATCCTATGGTAATATTAACTGAAGGCAAGTAGGAATGTATTCAAATGGAATACATCTCTAAACCTCTAAAGTATACAAAATGAATCAGAACAATACTTCTAGTGCATTCAATGGTCTATTCTGCATAGTTGAAACAATCTGACTGTATTACTCTTCCAAAATGAGACACTGTAGTTGGTTTTGAATGACTAAAGGGTTTTCCCAAACTGAACAGATATGTATAGATATATACATACATATATATATATATATATATATATATACATCTCAGTCTATATCTGAGTTTTTGTTTTTAAAAGTACTCGTTATGGAACACTTTAAGAGAGGTAGCTTACTGTAGTAGAAAGAGCAGTGGACTGGGAGGCAGAATATCTCCTTTTAAATCCTTGTTTTTGCTACCATTTATGTGACTTGGGAACAATTTACTTCGCCTTCCTGAGCTTCAATTTTCTTATCTGTAAAGTGAGTGAGTGAGACTAGATTATCTGCAGTCCCTTTCATTTAAATTCCTTTTATTTTGTTTTTGGATGCTTGTTAAACCTCCTGAAGGGTCATTGAAGCTACCAAGAGCAGGAGCAACTATCCCTACTTTGTAAAGTAGATATCTCCCATCTGAGATATCTCCTAGCTGAGATGAAAAAGGGTTAACAGGTGGTAGTGATGGTTCATCCATTAGACCTGATCAAATAGCATTAAGGCCCTCTCTCAACAATTTTGAATTCTTGCATCTGACTTCTAGAGGTACTTTCTCTAAGAACACTTACAGGAAGCATCGAGGATCCAGGCCAAAGTTCACTCTTTGGAATAGAAAGTCATATGCTCAGTCAACCAACAGCACATCAACATCCCCTGGGAGGAGTGACCATAATCAAATAAGGGGAAGGTGCTCATACAAGTATTGAAAAACAATTAATGAAGTGATTTGGGGGAGGAGAGAAGGAAAATCGTTTTTCCTTAACTGGAGCAGAAGAATAGAAAAAGAAGGTCAGCAGTTCTAAGAAGCCAAATAAGCTTACTAATAAATTCATTGTTAGTGAGCTTGTGGAATCAGTAAGAGCCACACAGCCATGCAACTCAGGTTGAGCCACATGCAGAGGTGATGAGTTAGTGACAGCAACTGTCAAGTTGACCTGGGTTAGCCTTCAGAATTAGAAGGGAGATGGAGACTGGGATGCCAGCTTACCCTGAAAATCCCCCTCATACTTATCCACAATTGCGCCACTCATTGTCAAACAGCTGCAATGACACAATGATAGGATTTGGAGAAAGGAATAAAAACAAGGAAACAAGAACAGAACTGAGAAAATGCTAAAAATCGCAGTAAGGTAGAATTTCAGTTCACACCAGTTAAGCAAACAAAATAATTACAGGTATTATACTACAGGCTACAGAAATTATTTCAGAGACTTATACAATTAGGACAAAACTCAACAGTATGGAAAGCAAAAACAGCAATAACAAGAAACAACATGTGTGTATATGTGTGTGTGTGTTTGCACAGGGAAATATATATTTGTTCTCCAGCTCTGTCTTCTCAAATTCTGTCATTGACTATTTGAAAACTAAAGGCACTGTCTTTTCAAATGCCTTCTGATCCCCAGTTCTTCCACAAAAAATTCCAAGCAAAGACATCCCACCCCATTTCTCAAATCAAAGATATGCTTCTTTCTTCCTTTAAATATTTTCCTAACCCTCTTCTTTAAATTGCTCCTGATAATTTATACTATCCTCTTCTTTCTTCTTATACTTGGGCAGGGTAGAAAAGCAGAAAGATGCAACTCATTATAAGACAGTACTTTGTACTCTATGTCAGGTCTAGTACAACAGTGTCCTGTGATTTTTTTTTTTATTACAGAGGTCATTGGTTTGGGATGTATTATTCTTACTAAAAAAAAGTTTGAGGACAAGGATGCTGGATAACCAAGAATATGTTAATAGCAAATATTCATTAGTGAAGATGCCTTAGCTTGAAAGGCTAAGGTCTGGCTTTAGGGAAAAGGCACTACCACAACAATAAACTCACTTAATGAAGCAAGCTATAGAGGGGGAAAATGGTGTTCAAATATGTTTTTCAAGGACTCTTCCTATAACTTAATAACCATACATACATGCAATTTTCCAAAGCTTGTTGTAATCCATCACAGTGGATTATAACCTTACAGGGTTGTTGTGAGAATCAAATGAGATAATATTTGTTAAAAGTGTCTAGCACAGTTCCTGGCATATAATAGGCACTATACAAGTGCTTATTCCTTTTCACCATTATAGTGATTGCTGACTGATTATAAAACATTCTTAAAAACTCTATTAAAGCCACTGGATGGCTTAAAATGCAATGAAAAATGTGATGAGAAGCTTTGGACAATGTTTAAAAATAAAGCTGCCCATTCATGAAATCTCAAAAGTCACATGAAAATGACTGTTAGTATCAAGATAAGCAGGGAGAAGACTAGGATTATTTTCTACGAGGACATCCTTTTCTGATCCTGGTGTCAACCACCAAGCTATCTCCTCTCTCAGTTGACGTTTGCCTGACCTCTCCCAAAGCTTTTGACTTCCTAAACAGTGGGAACTTTTCTACGGCATTAATCAGTCATATCAGGTGTGTTTTAAAACTCACCTTTAAATCTATACTTGAGCTTGGTCAGTGCCATGAAAGAAAGCAGGTTTCAAAAGTGCTTTCTTCTTTCTTATTCAACAAATCACACCTACTGAACATATCTGTGGACTGGACTTTCATACTTAAGAATGGAAAAATTGATTTAGCTCCGATAATAGCTCAGCTGTTTTTATTTTATTTAATTTAAATTTCTTGAAATAAAGACCTAAAGTTAAATTATAGTTCACTATTTAGGATCTTAACCAAAACTATAATGCCATTGAGATTGTTAATTTGGGTAAAGAAGAATGTCTCAATATATTTTTGTAAACTTGGGTCTTTTCTTCCTGTAATTAGTATCATGTTGACATAGGCTATCATGTTCAATAGGCTAATTACACTAATAGGAAGAAAATGTCTTAAGTTATTTGTTTATCTTCTCTTACTTTGGGACTCAGACAAGTTCTGTGAATGTCTCTATTTCACACAGCAACATAAATCTCCCAAATCTTTAAGCATAAAAGACAGAGATGTCTATTTTGAGGCCTGTTCATTCATTAGTTAACCATGTTCCTATCATTTTCACATTTTCAAAGGCTCTTTTTCTAGGTTTACTTCCCCAGAGAAATTCAAAATGCATGGAACTCCAAGAGGGTGTAGGTGTCAATGTCAAAATGCTAAGAGCATAAAGAGAACCTGGGCTCTTTGCAAGCTGACCTAAATTCTAGGTTTTCAATGGGTTTGTTGCTAGGAGTAAAAAGATGTTATCTTAGAAGTTACACATGACACCAACACGACAATCTCAATGGTACACAGAAATTGATTAACCATCAATAAAATCAAATAACCTCTCTATTGTTCATATTCTACTAAAGTTCATAAAAAATTTCTAGAGAGCCAGTGGCTTGGTTACCTGTAGACATGCTTTCCCCAGATGACATGCCATCTATAACAAGGTGGTCCACAGACTGTAAACCAGAGCCAGAGGTGTTTACTGTAGGAGGCTGTGGAGGTGGCAGCGTGGGCCTCTGTCGAGGCTTAGGAGTAGGCCGTGATTTGGTTAAAGTGCTTGTGATGACAGGAGTGGCTAGGGAGAGCGTTGTAGCAGGGGGAAGCTGGCCTGAAACCAATAAGTAACCTTGAGGGTAATTCAGTCCATAGGGAGAAGGGGTACTTGGTGGTGTAGGAGACAGGCTGACTGGGGATGGCTGGCCAGCAGACTGGTCAGTCATGCCACCTAACTGGCTGAAGGTGACCTTGGGTGGTATTGGTGCCAGCTTCTTTGAAACTGAAAGAAAAAAAATTTAAATGCTATTAAATTAAGCTCAGTTCATTTGGTTTCTAAATATACTTTCATACTCTTACCCTGGCCTTTTACTAAATCTCATAGGTACTGAAAACTACTGGCTTCACAACATTAACCTATTCATTCAACAATCATTTATGTAGAACTTATTACATGCAATATAAAATTAGGATAAATTAAATGGTAAGGGTTCAGACTTCAAAAGAATATACCAAACAGGTTAGTACTAGATTCCCTGCAAATTTCTACCTTATTATTTCCTACTGTTATGAGTTACTGCTGTGCATAATGGCCACTACATCCAGACACTAGAAAAGTACAAAACTAGAGAAGTAACTACAGAGGATTTTCCAAAATAAACAACACTAATCCGAATAATTGAATTATAACTAAATAACTGAATTATGCCGGTAATAACCCCATTATTTTTCCTCCCTGAAAGCATAGACCTTAAGCATATTTATTTCTAGTAACAAATTTATATTTGGTACATCATGCTAGATTTAGCTTAATTTCAGCTTTTTTGAGGGGAATGGAAGTTATTACTGAAACCTAGAGTGGCATTGGAAGTCTGGGTACTACATGTATTAGTTTTGGGGAAGTGAAATTCTTCCTGTCTATCATAACACATACCATCCGCTTGCGGAACCCTGTATGTACCATGCTGTACTCAGTACTATTGGTAATGAAAGTATATGGCACTGGTTCTAGGTACTTTAACACTAAGCTCTCAGAAATGGTAGTGACAAGCAGAGAAGGAAGTTTGTGTCACTGAATGCAGTGGTAAGGAATGAGCCCTGAGCATCTAAACAAAGGCCCAGGTGAGAAGGGGATACTTACACTTTTTATAAAGTTAAAATGTTCAAGTATATCATGAAAATTGAGATATAGTGCCCACATAATTAGCCAACTTGGTGAATCCAATCTAAAGTACAACCAGACTGGTTGGCTGGGTGTCATGTTAATAACACATTGAGTGAATGACCAAATTTTTAATGTTTCATAGAAAGACTGCTTTAGGATTTGAGGACCTACATTCAAATTTTTATTCTGCCTGTGTGACCTGAGGCAAGCCTCTCCATTTCTCTGAACCTCAGTTTTCTCATTATAAAATGAAGGGGCTGGAATGGATGGCTTTCCTGAGTCTAAATCTACAAAACTAGATGTCCTCTTCAATGCAAATATGCCAATTTCTCAATGTTTCCCCACCTCTTCTAAGTGATAAATTGGAATTGACATCTGGAGGTGTAAAAAAGGGAGACCATTTAGAATTAGATTGAGATAAATAGCTCAAAAAACTATTGATCAGAAAACAAATCAAAGTTCAATTTAAGATCATTAGAAACTTCTTAATTTGGAAGGAAGAACTCAAGATGGAGAACTCTGATTTCTGGCTGAATTATTTAATTTATTCTGGGTAAATAATTTCACTTCCCTATTCCTCAGTTTCTTCATTTGTAAACAGGGGAAAAAAGGGGAAAAAATGATATCACTTCCAAATTTTTCTCCTGCTGTTCCAAGAGATCAAGGTGAATGTGGAGAATATTCCAAGTATAAGCACACCTTATGCAAAGGCACAGAATTAGGAAAGAGAATACTGTGTGCAGGGAATAGCAAATAGGACAGTTTAGCTGGAACATGGTTTCTGAAAGGTAATATATGAGGCATAATCGTCTGAATAGTCTGAAGCCATATTGTCAAGGGCTTTAAAAATCAAAACAGTGGAAAGTGTATTTTATCCTAGAGGCAACAGAGGAACCTCTGAAGTTTCCTGAGAAAGATAGTGATATAGTTAGACTCATACTTCAGGAATTTGAAGTTGGCAGCTGAGTTAAGACTAGATGGGAGTGGAAATTGGAGGAGGAATGCAGGGAGACCAATTATGAGGCCATTGTAATAGGCCAGTGTAATTTTCCATTTTGGGATTATGAACCATGACACATGGTAGATGAGATATGGCGGATGATCCAGGGAAAGGAGAAGGAGGAAGAGATCAGACAGGTAGAAAGGAAAATTACCATGACAGACCAGCATCAAAAAAACTCAGAGAGGAGAAAGTATCCAAAAGGAGGTGGTAGTTAACAGTGTTAATTGCTGTAGAAATCTAAAAAAAAAAAGAACTAGAACTGAGGAAAAGACCATTAGATTTAGCACTAAAGAGATCATTGATAACCTTGGAGAGAGCAGTTTAAGTCAAGTGTAGGGAATGGAAGTTAGATGACAAGATGTTGAGAAGTGAATTAGAGGTGAGAAAGTGCTGAGAGAAAGTCCAGGCAGCTTTTTCTATATCTTTGGCTGTAAAGAGGAGGAAAGCTACATAGGATGATGCCCTTCTGAGAAATGAAATGCCATGCGAATGATGATTATGTAAATACTACATTGTGAGATGCACAAAGTAGTCATTTAGAGATTTCCTTGAAGATGTGCTGCACTGCTACAGTTAGAGTCCTGCCCTTGTATAAAACTATGGTGCACTTACACTTGGATCTCAAAGGTCACAGACTGAGAAACCCTAAGAAAAGGTAAATTCAAATGATAAAGATACTGTAGAATCAGTTGAATAAGAATGCAGTAAGAATCATAGGGCTCTTCAGCTCTAAAAGATGAAAACCAAAATGAATATAGTTAAATTTCATTCAGTTGTGAAGAGGATAGCATGGAATCAAACAATTTCAACAAATCCTTGTACCAAGGAGGCAATAAAACCTAAAATGAGTAAATGTAGTTCAAATAAAAATATTATTTTATTTTTGAATAAACTTGTAATTTTATCAGTGTACTGAACTCCCAATAAAGAAATTATCTCTACTAATATAGTGTGGCACCTGCCCTACAACTTATAGTCTTGGAAACCTGGATGTGCCACTTAGAGGCTAAGTGTCTTTGCTGAGGGTAACACAGCTAGTATGTGTCAGGGGTCAGGCCTGAAACCAGGTGGTCTTCCTGACTGAAGTCAGGAATGTTGATCTCAAAGCTATGTTTCTCAATTTAATTTAATTTTTATTTTACAAGTTATAAATGTATGGAGTTTGTTAATCCAAGAAGCACTGTCCATTCAAAAAAAAAGCATGGCTAAATTCCTCAATCATGACCCAAGATGATTTATTAGCAATTTATCAAAGGTTAGACTTTGAAACTGACTTCAAGGAGAATAGTTATGTTCTTTCTACAGTATGTCTTTTGGTGCCACTGCCAAAGATGGTACACTGGTCTGGATGGGCTAGTTGGGTAGTTCATATGTGTCCCTGATGCCGCAGTCTCCTTAACATTCAAGTCTTCGTAGAAGTGAATAATACCCTCTGCCCTGCTAGGTTCTAATAGCTGTGAGAATGAGAAACATAGGGAACAAAGTTAAAGGACAGAAGGTTCCTACATACTGCTAGATTTGTCTATAGCACAACTAATAGTGCTGTAAATGGACTTTAGAGATTGCTGATTCCAAGCCTTCATTTTACAGAGGAGAAAACTGAGGCACTAAGTGAGTTTATAATTCACCTAAGGTTATACAGACAAATGTGAATATGCGTATGTGGCAAAGTGGTGAGATAATACCTTTCAAATTCAAATTGTAGACTGTAACACTAGGTACTATGATTAGGTCCCACAGCTGTTGCTTTGTGTACCTGATTTAAAGGAAGTTTAAAACTAGTTGGAACTCAAACCCTCAGTGAGCTGAAAACAAGGACTAATGAGAAAAGAGACAAAAGTAATACCTTTCCGGAGTGTGTGAGGGCTCTGATCTGGGTGGGGCTGGCTGAGAGTAGTCATTGGCTGTGTACTCACACAGAGGACCCCGTGAGTGGAGCTTTGACTCTCCTTTTGCCCAGACCCTGAAGAAAGCTCCTTGCTTTGTAAAGTGCTGAAACAAACACAAGGAATGACATATAAATTTATTAAAACCTAACATCACCTCCACCTAATGAAAATACTAATCATTTTTCAAGGCACAAGTCAAATCTCCACAAAAGGGGAAGTCCTTACTAGCCAATTCAGCCAATCACTAAATATCTCCCTTCTCTGAACTTCGGTAGCACTTATTGTCTATACCACTCATATGGCACTTATATTCTACCTTTTCAAGTCTAAAAGTCTCCCCTACTAGATCGTAAGCTTCTTGAAGGCAGGGCCTGTGTCTTTTCTTTTCCTTCTATCTTGTTCTGTTCCAAGTATAATCCTTGAAAATTGAAGATAACTGGCAAATATTTGATTATTCAATGGATATTCCCAATAAGTCTAAACCAGAATACTACAGATATTTCAGTACTTTTTTCTCCATTCCTTATGGAGAATGATGATTAGCAAAGTTTTCCATTTTAAGAGATAAAAGTACATAGAAGCAAGGCCCTGTTTAGGAATTCTTGAAACTCTTTTCAATCTCTGGCAATTAGATTTCCAATCCCTGAGTTGAAGCATTTAAAAGTATTTTCTTTTAGGTAAGTGAAATTTCAAAATCAATCCCTGAACTACTTTTATTTTTTAAAATTTATTTATTTTTGGTTTTCAACATTAACTTTTATAAGATTTTGAATTCTAACCCCGCCCCTTCTCCCCAAGATGGCATGCAATCTGATATAGGTCATATATGTGCAATCATATTAAGCATATTTCCACATTAGTTATGTTGTGAAAGAAGAATCAGAACAAAAACTATGAGAAAGAAAAAAACAAAAAAAAGAAAATAGTATGCTTCGATCTGCATTCAGACTCCATAGTTCTTTCTCTGAAAGTAGACAGCATTTTCCATTGCGAGTCTTTTGGAATTGACTTAGCTCATTGAATTGCTGAGATGAGCTAAGTCTATCAAGGTGGGTCATCACAGAATGTTGCTGTTACTGTGTACAATGTTCCCCTGTTTCTGCTCACTTCACTCAGCATCAGTTCATGCAAGTCTTTCCAGGTTTTGCTGAAATCTGCTTGCTCATCATTTCTTATGGAACAATATTTATATAAGACAACTTCTTCAGCCATTCCCCAATTGATGGGCATCCCCTCAACTTCCAATTCTTTGTCACCACAAAAAGAGCTGCTATAAATATTTTTTGTACATGAGGGTCCTTTTCCCATTTGTATGATCTCTTTGGAACACAGACCTAGTAGTGGTACTGTTGGATCAAAGGGATCACAGTTGTTGGATAACAGTTTTATAGCCCTTTGGGCATAGTTCCAGATTGCTCTCCAGAATGGTTGGATCAGTTCACAATTCCCTGAAAGCTTTTTTAAAGCCCTACTCCTACCCTCCGATCTTCAAACTAGGACCATCCTCACCCCAATGGTATGGTCCTGAAAGACCTTTGAAGCCTAGCAAGAACCACCATCAGGTGGTTCACTGATCTACTGATTCTTATAATCTCTCTCCTTTGTAAGTAATGGTGAATCCTGGGACCTTCTCTCAAACCCCAGAACCATAGCCTACTAATACTCCTACAGACACTGCCAATGTAAATGATGCTCTTGGAGACATCTCAGTCATGTAAATAAGGATCTTGGGGTCACTCAACCCCAAAAGGAGATTCAGTCACTACCTTATGTCTTCTTCTCAGAACCACTGCATGTTAAATGACATCCAGGTCAATTATACAAACTACTTTGAGGCAGTAGGGTAAAGGAAACTGGCTTTGTAATTTATTTGTAATTATTTGTCAAAAATTTATCAGACAGCTATGGACTTTAATTGGCTAGTAATTATTCCTATGAGAGACTAGAGTGGATTGTAAACAAAGTCAGCACAACTGATATTAAAGTTCAAACAATTTTTTCATTAGCAGAACAAAGCAGGGACAGCCAAACAAAAATTTATTAGCTAACTCCTGGGTTGGCTATTTTCAATGACCCAGGAAAGCTGAAATACTGGAGTAGAAATTGAAAGAGGTAATTTTTTTCCTCAGAGAAGGGGCAAATCCAGGTTTCTTCCTTTACCTCTTTGGGAATTAGCTCATTCTGATTCATCTTTTGCCTCCTCAGTTTGGATGAAAGGAAATTGTAGCTTCCTGCTTTCTTAGGTAAAACATCTTTTGACCCCCACATCCCAAACTGCAATAATCACCCTCTCACTCATTTGATTCAATATGTTAGAAAAGCTGCATGGAGGGTGTGGAGGGGTGTGTGTGTGTGTGTGTGTGTGTTGTGTGTGTGTGTGTGTGAAAGAGAGCAAGAGAGACAGGCAGAGACAGAGAGAGAGAAAGAGAGAGATGGTAAGGAGTCAAGAAATAGTTGCACACTTAGGAGACTGACAGGATAGTGATGCCTTTGACCAAGTAATATGGTAGTTTGGAAGGGGAAAAGGATTTTTTGGAAAAATTAATCAGTTCAGTTTTTGATAAATTGAGTTTAAGAAGTCTATAACAGAGAGGATTCTGTGAAGATGGTGGAGTAGGTCAGAAAATTCCAAGCTCTCCAGATTTCCCTGACAAGTCAAAATAGCACCTCAGGACGAACACAGAGTGGTAAAAATAAACAACAGTTGGGACAGAACAATGGTCCTTCTGGGACAACTGGAGAAGATCCGAAGTAAAATCCCAGGACTGAGATTTGGTCCCTGTAAAGTCTAAACACCTCCAGGCTAGTTCCACTGAAACAGCAAGCAGTTAGCCCTGGGGCTAGCTGGGTTGGGAGATGGCCTTGGCCTCAGTCACAGGAGATTTCACACACTGGATGGTGTGGGGAGTCAGGCATTTGAGCAGGGGAAGATTGAGGGAATCTCTGCTGATAAGGCATATCAGGCCCAGCTGTGCTGCCAAGATGCGACCCTGGGAGAAAAGGAACCAGCACACTCCTGGTGAGTACAGATGGAGTGGGGCCTGGACGCTACTGCCTGTGAGCACTTGCAGGAGAGTGGAGTTCTGGGTTTTGGTTCTAGGCCAGAGGGGAGAACTGAAGGATGATCTGAAGATACTCATACCCCATACCCATACCCCAGAACTAGAGGTGATTACAATAATAAGCTGCCTACAAATAAAAAAAAATGAGCAGGCAAAGGAGAAAGAACCCAACCACGGAAAGTTACTATGAGAACAGAGAAGACTGGGGTTTGTCTTCAGATAAGGATACTGAAGAAAAAAAATAAGCCTTTCCTACCCCAAAGAGTAGTCATGGTCATCTCCCCCAAAAAAATTCATAGAAGAGCTTTAAAAAGACTTTAAAAATCAATATTTATTAAAAATCAATAGGGAAAGGTTGAGGGGGAAAAAAAATAAGAACCATCCAAGAGAAACAAGATTATGATAAGAAAGTCAACCAATTGGAAAAGGAGATGTAGAACCTTACAGAAGAAAACAATTCCTTGAAAATTAGAATTTGGCAAGGGGAAGCCAGACAAGTTATAACAGATGAAGAAATAATAAAACAAAATATAAAGAATGAAAAAATAGTAGAGAAAGTGAAACACCTCATAAGAAAGAAAAACAACTGATCTGGAGAACAGATCAAGAAAAGAAAACATAAGAATAATCGCACTACCTGAAATCTATGACCAAAAAAAAAATCTTGATACACAACAATACAAGAAATAATTAAAGAAAATCATCCTGAAGTCTTAGAACAAAAGGAGAAAGTAGAAACAGAAAAATTCTACCGATCACCACCTGAATGAGATCCTATGAGGAAAACCTATAGGAATATATAGCTAGATTCTGAAACCTCCAGGTCAAGGATAAAATATTATTAGCAACAAGAAAAAAAACCCAATTCAAATATAGCAGAGCTACAGTTAGAATCACACAAGATCTAGCAGTGGTGACCCTAAAAAGACCGCTGGTTTTGTAACACTATATATCAAAGAGCAAAAGAACTGGGGTTGCCGTCAAAAATATCATAAGTTAAGTATAATCCTGAATTAAAAAAAAAGACATTCAATGAATTGCTAGGCTTTCAGGCTTTTGTTTCAAAAAAACCTGAACTTAAAAGAAAATCTGACATACAAGATCCTAGATAACAAAGACAAGTGACTTAATAAGATCAGACTTTACTTTTTATATGAGGAAATGTAAAATGTATGTCTACGATTGTTATTAGTAATTGGGTAGTTAGAAAGAAAGACTGGGGTAGAAATGAGTTTGTTGTGATTCTAAAAAGTAAAACTGTTTAGAAAAAGGTAAAGAGTAATTATCTTATACAAATAGGGTGTGAAAGGAAGAACTGACACAGAGGAATTAGATGGTGGGGAAGGCTGGTAGTTCTGGAACCCTACTCTCATACAGAATAGGTTGGAGAGGGAACAATACATACATATGTAAAAGAGTATAAGTCTTCTAAATTCAGAAAGAAATAAAAAGCTAAGGGGATAGGGAGTGAGGAAAGGATGAGTGAAGGATTTTTAGGGGGAACCCTACTTACATCAGATCTGGGTTAAAGACAGAACTATATCTATATCTCTATATCTATCTATGAATAAAAGTCTTCTAAATTTGTAAAGAAATAAAAGGGTGAGGGAATAGGATAGGGGGGTACAGAAGGGTATCTAGATTAATAGGAATGGAATAAAGAGGGAATAACATATATAAAGAGAGCTTCTGTGGCAAGTGAGATAGTGAGCAAATTAGAGAGGTATAAAAGGATTTCCCAGTAGCTATGAGGTTGCACTTGAGATTATGTAATATGAATATATTTGTTATAAACCTGGTCAGGAAGTGCAAGTGTAGAATTGAACTGGTTTTTATATATATATATATATATATATATATATATTATATATATTATATATATATATATATATATATGACTATAAAAGTCTTCTAAATGCAGAAAGAAACAAGAAGGGAAGGGGGAAGGGTGGGGAGGAGAGGATAAGGGAGGAATCTTTGGAGGAGGGGGTAGGTTGAGTAATAGGAGGGCAAGGGAATGGGTAGAAGCAGAAGAGTCAAG